TCAAGGATTTGATATTATATTTTGAACCTTTATTTTATTTATCAAATATATCAATGGGCCTGTCACCCCTACTCATCACCAGGAGTAAACCCTGCAAACATGTATTACCACTGCAACATTTTGTTAGACTAGATAGGTTTATTCAAATTTATATATCACTCTATGCGTGTATATTAAATATAGTTTCGTGTAGACATGCATTCAGTCTGATTATTTACCTCTTATGGGTGAATATATATTCTATTCACAAAGAACAAACACCTTGAAGTATAATTTCAGACCTGTTATACTGATTTACTGAATAGGTATAGGGTTATATGTTTTGTATATGTTAGGCTATGCTTTGCATCTGAACATGTATTACACCAATACCTCTGTAGGTATGTGACCATGTTTGTAAAGTGGTGCTACCTGCCTGTAGCATGACTCTATTCAGTATAGTACTCAAAGTATATAGTCTTTTCTGCATGTGAGCATTACTAATATGTACCATATGCATGTATATAGAGGATCTGTGTACAGCTTCAACTGGTATGTGTCACTGGTGTTGTGTTGCCCAGGGAGAACATACAGTATGTGTGTGTGTGTGTGTGTTAGTGTGTGTGTGTTAGTGTGTGTGTGTGTGTTAGTGTGTGTGTGTGTTAGTGTGTGTGTGTTAGTGTGTGTGTGTTAGTGTGTGTGTGTGTGTTAGTGTGTGTGTTAGTGTGTGTGTGTGTTAGTGTGTTAGTGTGTGTGTGTTAGTGTGTTAGTGTGTTAGTGTGTGTGTGTGTGTGTGTGTGTGTGTGTGTGTGTGTGTGTGTGTGTGTGGATGATCTGTGAGCAGACGCAACCGCCATGTCAACTGTGTTGTGCAGACCATGGTGATTTTACAGTGCGGGTGATCTGTGTGCAGACACAACCGCCATATCAACTGATTTGTGCGGACCAGGGTGATTTTACAGTGCGGGTGATCTGTGTGCAGACACAACCGCCATATCAACTGATTTGTGCGGACCAGGGTGATTTTACAGTGCGGGTGATCTGTGTGCAGACACAACCGCCATGTCAACTGTGTTGTGCAGACCAGGAAAGACATAACTCACACATTCTAAATAATGACCAACATCTACCAATCTGAATATTAGAAGTTCATAATGTTAGTGGTCAAGAATTATTTTTATGCTGCTGACAGTCACAGCTGGAGTTGAGATTTAGAAACGGATCACGATCCATAATATTCATTGAAAGTATTTACATGTCCAAGTGAAAGTGCGTTCATCACACGCTCTGTAATCTGCTTCCAAAACAAATATATTTGGGGGAGTTGCCTAAAGATACTGTCGCAGCGTTTTCATTGGCTGATATGCGATTCTTAGCTGTTATATATACTGAACAACAAAAGTTCCTGTGACATTGAATAAGATTTAATGCATAGTTATGATTTTACCAAATCTGAAACAATTCCGGTTTGAAACAGATAAAAGACTCCTGTAAGTGTTTAAATGGTTTAATTTGCCATACTGACATCAGAAAATGCGTGATTTCATTAAAAAAAACGTGAACATGCCAAAATGTCAATTTACAAATCAATAGCGTGTGTGTCCACCTCTGGTTGCGATGCAAGCAACACGTCTTCGTCTCATGGAATGGACCAGGCGTCGCACAAAGTCCTGTGGGATATCTGTCCATATCTGCTGGAGCATGTTTCTAAGTTCCTGGAGTGTCTGTGGAACACGTAGTTGACGTCGAAGGCGCCAATCCATCTCATCCCACATGTGCTCGATTGGTGAGAGATCAGGGGAGCGAGCCGGCCAGGGGATGACATTCACGTTGTTTTGTTGAAGAGAATCCCGAACAAGTCGAGTAATATGAGGCCGGGCGTTGTCATGTTGAAAGGTAATGCCTGGGCCATGACGACGCCAAAACGGTAAAGCAACAGGGCCGATGATCTCGTCGTGGTAGCGCTGTCCATTGAGATTTCCCTCTACCACTATCAAACGGGTCCTCTGTCTTGCTGTAATCCCACCCCATACCATAACGCTGCCACCCCCAAACTGATCTTCTTCCATGACACAATGATTGACGTTACGTTCACCTCGACGTCGGTACACTCGAATCCGTCCATCGCTGTGGCTGAGATGAAACCGAGACTCGTCAGTGATAAGAAATTGTCCCCACTGCATGGACGTCCAGCGTAGACGCTGTTTGCACCACTGTAGACGTGCTTGACGGTGGTTTCCTGTCAAAATGGGACGTCTGGCGGCAATCCCTGCACATCTGAGGCGACGACATACGGTTTGTGAAGATATTCGTCTGTTGCCAACATTGCCATAAACACCAAATGGTGTTTCTGTGGACGTTAAATTGTCTTGCAACATCACATTGACTCAATCCTGCTTCAAGCATACCAATGGCTCGCAGACGCTCATTTCGGACAGCCTGGCATATCGTAATGTTGAATAATTGCGTAATTGTTTTGTTGTTCTGAGTGGTTGTTGTCAGCACGATGCTAAACAATGCATATGGAATCCCGTTAACGCACATGTTTTTATATCCATTCTTGGGTAGTGAAATGCATGGGGCTTGCATAAAAGTCAACTTTTGCATGGAATGCATGCTTTTCTGTAGCAGTTGCGTTTTTGTGACTTGATTCCATACATGTACTACAATATTGAAAACCAAACTTTACTTGTTTGAAAAATACACTAAAATATTGGTGTCACAGGAACTTTTGTTGTTGAGTATATATACTGTTTCTGCTATTTCTATTAACCCTACAAAAATAACATTGTTGAATGTGTGAAATCTTGATAATAAATAATAATTAACAATCTGTAAGTAGCATTTAATTACTAACATCCTGTTTGGTGCATTAAACTTCTTACTTGAAACAACATTATGATAACCGTTCACTAGTTTCTATTTGGCAAGAACATGTCTCTTTTCCCTCTTAAGGGACTGGGCTAGGTTTCGACACTTCATTTTCCTCTTGGTTGGCATCAAACTACCGGATTATGATTGCAGTATTATCTTGCCCAACCTGCAGTATATCAATGAATTTGTAATGATTTGAATGTCACCCCTCGAGATTTATTGTCGTTTTTGGCTAACGATTACAAGGACTGTAATTAGGAATATTTAGAGGCAAATGATCAACAGTGTAAGTCAATGTCTGATCGTACACCGATCACATCCACAAGAAATCTCCTCGTGCTCAAAATAAGACACCTGATTCTCAACTGAGACATGTGCTGCAATTTCTGACGCAATACATGGGATAATTTCTTGTCGATTCTGTGCTGGAGGGTCCTTGAGGAATCTTGATATTATTGCTCTAACCCTATAACCCAACTGATCCCATAGATGCTCGATTAGATTCACACCTGGGCAGAGTCTCAGTGGCGTTGTTCTGGAAATAGTCAGTCACAGCTCGTGCTGGTCGGTGTGGTCAGGCATTGTCGTCCATGAAGACATGACGTGTGGCATGTGTATGGTTATCAAAATGAGTCCAATATGATATCTTGGTACCTTTGTCTATGTAATATCCCCTGAGCTGTGACCAAATCAAGTTTACAATCGAAGGAGCAACATCCCCATACAATTACTGGGCTGCCACCACATGTCACTCACTGTTTCCTGGATGCTGGTTGATAATAAGATGTTCCTCTTTGCCCCCATACATGAGTCCTACCATCAGATTGGTGCAATAACATCCAACTCTCATCAGATCCAGTGTGATTGAACCTGCAACCAGGCTAAATGGTCCCGTATGTGTTGAGGTGAGAGGAGTGGATGTCTTAGTGGTCTTCTGGCCCTTAATCCTGCCATTGATGCCTGATAGTGCTGGGGGACACTCTGTTGTAGGTATGCCGGTGATGATGAAGAACTGTGCAAGTTGCAGTCGACAAGTCACTGTGTGTATTCTATTGCGTCGACTGATTACAGCATAATTAATGTTTAACACGGCCCGACATGACATGCCAGTTTGGTGCATGTCAATGATTTGCCATTTCATTCAAAATTGTCACTTTCTGTCATCAAACATGAATTTCTCTATAGAAACTCCTTAGGTGTGCAAACGACTTGCATAAACAAACCCACAATGTTGGGCAGTGAAGGTGGCTACCATTCTTCAGGCAGATGATGTGTCAACACACAGTACCATTTGAAAATCACATTTACACTCAAATCAAATTTGGTAGTGACATACTTTTCTTGAGGTGTATATATTTAAAATATTCATACAGTACAGTGTATGTAACTATAGTTCACCAATTAGTTGTGTCACTACATTGGTGTGATATTCATCAATTAGTTGTGTCCTATGTGAGATGCTGCCCTTAACCCCCTTTTGTCGTACCAGTCACCACGCTCGGGTGAATTTGTACCTATAACAATATGTGCTTGACAATTAGGAAGACCCCCCCTCCCAATAAACCACCTGCTGCCCTGGATCCTATTCCACACGATGAATGCCTGTGAGGGATTAATCCTGACTTCAATGTTGTTACCAATAAGGCATAAGTTGTGGACATGGCATTCAAATGGAAAAGCAGACAAAAAAAGCCCCTGTAATGTGATAAAAAAATCAGAGGTTGTTGAAATTGCACAGCGTGGCAAACACCAGGAACCCACTTTAACCCCAGTGATTGGATTCCCTCAGTTGTGGATTTTTTCGTTTTGCCCCTCGTTAATAAATGTTGATACAGATATTTGTATCTTACTCAAGCCTTAAATATCACATTACCATCTGCTTGTGGCTCTTCACCAACATCAAGATGATGCACCATGACATAACCCTAGTCCAATTCAATGTCGCATGAAACCCGACCTACTCACTCACTCCAAGGGCTTTTATTCCCTTCTTAAAACATCTTAAAACAACTTTCTGAAAAGCCTTACCAGTCTGTTAATTCATCAACTATTTTCTTAAAAAATAGGTCATTTAAACTGTTTTCTGATACAAAACCAAAACAAATATCTGATACAAAACTGTAGGTAAACAAAACAAAGACAATAAATAGATTGTAAAGTCTTTTATTTATTATAAAATTGCCATATTCTGCAAAAATGAATTTATTACATCTATACAAAACACATTGACACTAGTGATCTACATTTGGTTTGTTGTGGGTACAGGACGTTTGTCTACAGAAGCATGTGGCTCGTGATGAAGGACCTAGATGAGACATGGACAGTGTGATAATGGCTGCAGCTACAAGAAGCAGTGACGAGTCAGTTGCCCATTCTGTACACAGATGATGAGCAAGTATACAACAACAGACCCTAAAACTTTAACATAAGCACAGGAGGTAGGTGGTGAATGTGAGGCGCTATTGGGCTCATAGCTCCCCCTGCTGAGCAAACGGTCAACTACCCTGCCTCATGGATTCAGGTATAACCCTGATTAGGAATACCTCCTTGGTTAAAGTCCTATGTTACAAACTGGATGAACACATATATTAGCAGTTGATTATAGAATAGAATAAAGTTAGAATTTTCAGCCTCTGCTGCCCTCTAGCTCTCCTCCTGCTGGTTGGTCAGATGTTATTGTACATGAACTACGTAAGATTTCAGACCTAATTTCACTCAGCTGGCTGGCTGAAGCCACCTGGAATAAATCATTCTGGCTTGATACCATCTGCTTTATTTCTGAAGGATCTGACACCCCTACTCCGACACTGACGAATCTAGCGCCTCCATATTTAATATCTTCAGCTGCTTCGATAGTTTCTGCAGAGTTGATGGAAGACTTTCCTACTGTGAACAGCATGGCGATGTTGTCTGCATTGGATCTATCACCCAGACTTGGGGAAAAGACTTCTGATGCTGTTCTGATTGCATCTGCGATGTTTGAACCACCAGGATTATAGCGTGTAGTGAGGATGGCATCCTCGATTTGATTGATCTGCCTGTAGCGTTTGAGACTGAAGGCAAGTCGCACACGTGAATTGTAGGTAACAAGAGAGAATCTGTGTTCTATGCCAGTAGATGTCAGATCCCTCACAACAGCAGCCAGGAACTTCTGCATGACGCCAAAATTCTCCTGTCCAACAGAAGCTGAGGAGTCGAGCATGAACACTATGTCCCTCGGTGCCTGACAATCTGAAAGAGAAAGTTAAACTTGTAGGCATCCTTGCTGACACTGACTTCATTTACATGAAATAAAACAATGTCTCCCACAAAGAAAGATGGCCATTTAATGAAATAAAACAATGTCACATATGAGAATGTCCTAGTCAATAAAATAGACAATGTTACACAAGGGGTACCCAGTCATGAAATAAAACAATGTAACACACAAGGGGTGACCTAGTTTTGAAAAAATACAATGTCACACACATGAGGTGACCTAATTATGAAAAAGATACAATGTCACACACATGGGATGACCTAGTCATGAAAAAGATACAATGTCAGACACAAAGGATGGCCTAATCATGAAATATATAATAATCCTGTAGGCATAAGAATTCTTAATTATCCAACATGCTAATGGTGCTGATCTGAACAAAAGAATTGACTGACAGGATCATCAAATACTACTATGTAAAAAATGAGTTTGCCTCACTTAAGAATCTATTTCTTCATCTTTTCCAATCATATTTGTTTCATCGTTCTAAACACTAATCCTCCTTTATTCAGATGTGTCATAAACACAGTCTTCTCTCTGACTGTAATATTTATATAAAAAAAATATTTATCCTGGTTTCACTTACCAAGCTCACAGTTGTAACCCAGGAATCCTCGAGGACAGTCACATGTGTACTTCCCAATACCAGCAATGCACACACCTCCATTTACACATGGGTTGTCGGCGCACACACCAGGGTCTGAAAAGAAGAGGACATAAGCATTTCATTTCATGTGGTCATGTGGGTTGCGCACCCCCCCCCCCCCCCCCCCCTTTTTATTTCGAAAAAAATCTTTATTTCTGTATAAATTACCACCAAAGACAATAAATAGATCTTAATTGTGCACCCCCCCTTTTCAAAAAAGGTGTATCTGCCCATGTACATGTTGCCAATTTTCAGAAATTGTGTTGATCAGTTAGAACTGCCAGCAAACATGGCTTCTGGGAGGTAACTTTTTATTCATTATTTCAAGTTATCAGATTTCTTGAGGTCAGTGTATCTTCCTACCTCTGCATATGGAGTCCAGGATGCCAGTAGAGACATTATACAGCTTTGAGAAGTCCTCAATAAGGAAGGCATTCTTGTCAGTTGGTTCACTAGCAATTCCCTCAATTTCCCAGGCATCAAATCTTCCAATACCAATTGCAAACATGTGGATTCCAGCATCCTTTGCGAGCTGAGCTTGGGGGATTGTATCTTCTGCGTTCACATTGGACAGGCCATCAGTGATCAGCAGAGCTGTGAAAATAGAGAACATGATAGTCTTGTCATAACATTCCAAATGATGCTCTTTACATGTAGTGCCTGTAAGTAGTGTCAGCAAATACTACATGTGTAAGATAATAGTCACATTCTATACAGTCACAACATGTATATATGTTACAGCTTATGTCAGTATTACCCAAACAAATTACAAATCCTCTTATTTGTATGAAAACCAATTCTTCAGGTTCAGTCTTGAAACTCACTAATTCCTGGATTTTTTTCAGGTAATGAATTCCCACTAGATTGTATGACTGTATGTGACACATGATAACCCCTCTAAACATTTGAACCCTCTCCCATAGGTTATTCACTTTAGTTGAGCAGTTAGATGATCCATTTGAATTCCGATTATGAAAAACTTACCAAAGTTTGGCACATTGGGTCTGTCACCACGCCTTCTGGAGAAGACTCCAGATCGCATCAGCTTTATTCCTGAGGCAGTGTTTGTGTTACCATATTCGTATGTCATGCCAGAAATGGCATCCTTCAGATCCTTCTTGTTGTTATACTGGTCCAGGTAGATATGGGAGCGGGCATACTGGGAGAAGGTTACCACAGCAATACGGGTCCGAGATGGGCCAACATTCAGGTTGTCGATGATGTGGTACATGTACGCTTGGATCTTCAGGAAGTTGTCATATCCCACACTGCCAGAAGCATCCAGGACAAAGGCAAGGTCAAGGTCATCCTGACACCCTTTTGACAGAATGACACAAGTCTTTTTAGTTTGAATAGATTCAGGATGCTTTAGGCTCTAACTTAACAAAGTGAAAAAGAACTTTATCAAGGCTTTTTTCTCTTAGTTTTTTCAAAAGGTGGATTAACATTTTTAAATGTGTGTTAGCATACAACATAATGTAAAATGCAAGAACTACCACCACCATTCAGCTGATGAGCAAGAAGTAGCCATGAAATGTTGTGTATGTATAATAAAGAAGCTGTTATCCATAATAATATTCCTTGTCATAAGACTACCAACATGATGTGAGTAAATACCTTTTTACTCCCTACTGGTAGGTCAACCAAACATGAGGTAAAAAAGTGATAGAAGAGTTCTTTAGATACTGATTTTGAATTTTATGGATGAATAATTTAATTTGTCCCCAGTGTAGACAAAAATAATTGAATAGAATATTTTCTTGTGAATTAAATTCTTATTGTCAAATGTTGGTAAGAGAAATCTTTAAGTTTACACTTTAGATACATTTGACAACTTACGTCTTTCACAATGTTGACCAGCATATCCAACTGGGCATCGGCAGAAGTATTCCCGGGCTCCATTGATGCATGAGCCACCATTCATGCAGGGGTCTGAGCTACACATGTTACTTTCTGAAAAAAAGTACAAATTACATGACAGTGCAACCTAACTAGAAATATTGGAAAACTATATATTTTGTAAGGTCCTGACTTAGTACTTGTTTATTTACCATCATTTGATTCTTTGGTAAGTAGAATCTCTCAAGCAGAAATTCAGATTTTTGGTCAACCAGATCATTTAACTAGACACAATCTTGTGGTTTTTTTTAATAATCTGGTGATCGCTACTTAATGGCAGTAAGTGACTGGCATATCAATGCATAAATGTGATAAAACATCACAAATGATAATTGCTGTATACAATAGAAATTAAGGAATAGATAAGTTGTTGATCATATTTAATGGAATGTGCATTGAGAAGCATTAAATATCTGACCCATTTTTAAAATTATATCTATGTATCTAAATAATGAGCAATATGTAATGGCTCAGTCCCTTGAATAATTAAGACCTGATTTTATATAACTTCATTGCAGAAAATGAAATCAGTTGTCCATAAGATCTTGCATCTGTATAGACTTCAATATGCAGGTAACTACATTGTAAATATGCCATTCCCTTGGTCCCTGCCTCCATCCCATATGTACTGACCTTCACAGACAAACTGGATGAAGTTCTCTTCCAAGCCCTTTAGGTCATTGGCCTCATTAGCAGTGTACATCATTTGATCGCTGGGCCGGGAAACAAACTGTGACAGCATCTTACGGTCAGAGCCACTTAGGTTAATGCCTGGAACACAGACCACTCTCATCAGAACAGTAGACCCAACAGGTGCAAGACAGAACAATACCTGACATAACTGAGGATTTGTCTTTACCTACAGAAAATCGTGAAAGGTTCCCAATAACAAATTCCCAGTTTTTTAGTTTTGTAAAGGTGACTTGTATTTCATTGATAACTGACACCAATATAGAGAAAACAGCTTAATGCACTGAATACAATGTTCGAATACCTCTGAATTAAAGAAAATTGGTGGAAACAAAATAATACTTCTAATTTGCACGCCAAGGAAACCTTGTACCAAAGTCTATGGTAATTCCCTATTTCCATTTATAAATCAAAAGCTTGCTAGTTGGAATAGTACTGTTCTCATTGTCAGTTTCTGTATAAACAAATCATGGGAACTGACTCATGTCCTTTTATAGATAACAGAAACTGTAATAGCCCAGAAATCTAGGTTTATGGACTAATGGTGTTTTACAACATATCTATGACCGCCTCCGTGGTCTAGTACGTGGTAGAGCGTCCGCCCGTCATACCAAAAGACGTTAAAAGATGGTACTTGTTGTACCCTATCTGGCGCTCGGCATTAAGGGGCTAAAACAAGGACTGGTCGGCTTGGAGTCATTATACTGTGTCTGAGTGGGATATTCATGTTAAACTGCGGCATGGTATCTCAGTGAGCTAGCACTATAAATCAGCATCAGTCCGGACTAGTACAAGCGGCCACACAAACACACACACGTACATGCACGTCGCTATATAAGTGCAATAATCTTGGACGCGACGTTAAACCCCATTTCACCTCACCTCACCTACAACATATCTATAATGATTTACCACACATACACGTTTGGACATTTAATCCAAGAATACATATCAGTGCAATAAGCAGAACTTTGCCATAATGACAAATATTAAATTGTATACAGATATCTGGCTCATTCTCAGACTGGTTATTTCCATCCAAGAATTCAGAATCATCCTACTCTCTGAATGAAACTGTGGCAGTGAACAGAAAAGAATGTGATAAAGGCATTTTATCTTGTAAATATATACGTATACATTGTGCAAAAAGTGCCCTTGTGCAATGTCAAGGTACTTACTTGATTATCTCATTGTTGCAAACAACTCAAATGTCATATGACCGTATTGCTTGCAGACAACATGAAGGTGACACAATGAAAAAGGTAAATAGGAAAACTACACTATTGGCATTTAATGAATCAGGTGTCTGAATTGCAGAAAAACTTGCATAATTGACAGGGCGACACAGAGCATCAGTTTAGAGAAGTTTGAAGAAATTTGTGGGTGAAAATGCTGAGTGGAGGCCTAGTTTTGGTGTGAACAACAGACATTTGGTATATAGTGTGTCTTGCATGGGTATACCCCAACTGGTCAGGAGAGCCGAAGGTGGGGGTTTTGATTCCCGGCCGTGTCATACCAAAAGATGTTAAAAGATGGTACTCATTGTTACCCAGCTTGGTGCTCAGCATTAATAAGGGGCTAAAACAAGGACCTGTGGGCTCAGGAGTCAGTATACTGTATCTGAGTGGGGTATTCATGTTAAACCGTGGCATGGTATCTCAGTGGGCTATCACTATAAAATTGGCATTCACGCACGCACAATGCTATATATAAGTGCAATAATCTTGGATGCAACACTAAAACCATTTTCACCTCACCCAACTGGTCAGTAAAACAGATAACAGTAAAGGCTGCAAGTCTAGGGTCATCTGATACTTCCAAATTGACTATTTGATGGTGCCTAAAGCTAAAGCAATCAGGATAAAAAAACATTTGCTGAAGAAGATTCCGCTCATGATGGAAGTGCAGATGGAGAAAACTGTTAAGTGGTGTAACTTTAAGGAAAGAGATTTTTCTAACCAAATTTTCTCTGACAAACTGAAGTTTCAGTTATTTTGGATATCAAGAAAACAAGCCAAGAGCTGCCAAGTGCTTCAAATGGTCCCCAAATTTTCCCCAAGCGTTAATGGAGTAGGGTGGATTCAATCAATTCTGAATGATGCTCCTGTTGATAGTAATGGGAAATTGAATTCCAACAACTACTGTGAGGTTTCACAAGAGGGCATCCTTGATTGACATTTTGGCCAGCATTGGAATCCTTTTCAACTTTAACAAGACACCGATGAGTTCACACCTTGTGATTCACCAGCACCTGCCTGGATACCAATCACATGATTGTCTTGAAATTTACAGCAGCTTCACATGATCTCAATCAAATTGAAAGTGTTAAGTCCATGATGAAAGATAATGTGGAAAAGCTGTCACCAAAGAATATGAGTTTATGGTGCTAGGTCATTCAAATCTGAGATGGCTTAACCGAGTTGTGCATAGACAATCTCATCAACCAGCGTTTACAGAGAAATGGCACTATTACAAATTAATACCATTAATCTCCTACAAGACATTCATATATGAGAAATATGAAAGAAATGGTCACATTTTTCTGCTTGATACTATATAATTTTGATTTCTTCTAAAACAACCTTACTCACCAACACCCACAACCTTGGCGCCAGTGGACTTCAGCTTGTTCATCTCTAGAAGTACCTCCCGGGAGTTCCTCATGCTCTTGGTGATGAGGACAACATAGTTGGGGGTGGTCTTCCTATCACCAGGGCTGTTGAGCACTTGGATTCTTACTTTCTTCAGGGCCATGGATGGGTTGGGGTCCCCATAGGATTTCCTGGGAGCAAGTATAAATGTGTACTTTGAAGTGTTACACCATTTTGATGATGTCATGCCTTGAAGTAATTACAAAATGAAATACAATTGTCAGATATACCCCATACTCACATATACTTACAGAAGTTCTTACACTTAAGTTACATGATACAAACTGGCCCTTTTGACTTCTTTTTGTAGGAAGAAACTGCGCTACCTAGCAGTCAGGGCAACAATAAAAGTCATGACATAATAACTGGGAACAAAAAATACATACCGGTGGGTAATTAAATGCTTATGAGGAAAATGTACCTGAGCTTGGCAACAGCTGACTTGGCAGCCTTTTTGTTAGAACCTTCATCCAGAGTGAGGTGCAGGGATGGGAAGTCACTGAAGCTGACCACACCGACACGGTAGTTGCCAGAACGGAATGTCATCTTCTTGATCACCTCACGTACAAATCGTTTTGTTCTTCTTAACTCTGCTCGACTCATGTAGCGAGAAGTGTCAATAACAAACACAACATCAGCTTCGCCTTTGCACACTAAAACAAGAAATACACCACAAGTTGCCTTTGATTCCTGATGTGGAGAGCATTGTCAACAATCATTACACAAAACAAGCAGGTAACCTAATGACCAAGTTATAGCTTAATTTCCTTGAGAGTTTTTTTCTTCCATTCATTTATCTTGAATGGCATCCTAAATAAAATAAAGGTACGTTGCCTTTTTGCAAACTGTCAAAACATCTTTTGATTTTCAATCATATGTACCGGTATGCCAAGGATTAGCATTCTTCACACGGCTTTGTTGAGTAATTTTTTATTTTGTTGCATTTCATACTTTCTTTACGTTACTTCCACTGCACATAATGTACAATGTCGGATGCACTAATATTCATTCAATGAAAGTGTGAAGGGCACGAAGAACATAACCTATGGAAGCAAACTGCCAAGAGCTTAACATTTGTAGATGAAATAATACTGTTTAACTTCCTTCTGGAAGAAGACAGACAACGTATCAAACCATTTTGTCCTTTGCTAGAGTCAAAATGGCACTATCAATACAACCACTTCAAATTTTGGATCATATGTAGGCTATGTTTGAGAAAATAATGCAATTTCTATTTCCTCTTCAACCTTGGGTTATGTACATCATTATTTGTATGCATTAACTTCTCACCTCTCTCACAGTTATCGCCTGTGTATCCAGGGGTACATTCACAGACATGTCCAAGAGACTGACTGCGACACTGACCTCCATTTTGACATGGGTCACTGGCACAGAAGTCCTGGTCTAAATAAACACATGAAAATGAGAATGTCTTCTACTAACAAACCCATACAAACATATTTTAATAGGTTACCATGGTTACTGTTGTTAATTTATTATTAATGATCAGGAAATTAGACGTTTGTTGGAATTCTTTGCATTAACAACCTTATCTAACAATTATGCAATGGAGTCATCAAATGTTGATGTATCTTGCCATGTGTTCACACATCAAGAATGACAAGCACGTTTTGCATTTGATGACTCCCATATTAGTTGCAAGATAATGACTGTGTGCACGACATACACTTTGTGATGATGCCTTGTAAGCTCAATGTACTAGACTCAACAGAATTATTATGATTTCATTCACACCAACAACAGATAATGATAGCTGACAAGATGGGGCCAAAGCTATCAAGCTGAACCATGGTGCCTCTGCTATTGAGGTATGTACGCCTATCATGTGCAGGCTACTGCCATGAAGCTGACATACAGTTTATTCACAGCTGACAACCCATGCAGGGTCACTGCATCCAGGAGCAATATGTAGATAAGCAGCAGGAATCTAGCCTATTGGTCTCAAATGATGTGATATCAAACAGACAAACTGCAGGAAAGGCAAACATTAATACAAGATGACATTATGATTCATATTTACATCAATGAAAAGATTATATATTGTCTTTAATAACACTAAATGCATTACATTCTGGACAAGCAGTAGATAGTTTTGGAAAAATGTTTTCACTGAATCAGTGGAAACTAAATAGCTTGTTGGATAATAAATCAAGATTCAGAAAATACATAAACCAGATACATGGATCTGGAAACTTTGTTAAGTTGTATTCAACTCTTAATTGAGTGGTATTAATGATATCCACTTGAGGAATGGCAATTCACCACTTAAATGCATCTTCTTTTGAATTGCTAATGATCACATTGCAAATGAGACATTTTTATTCAAGGGAATGTAACATTACCGTTGGAGCCATAAAAAAATGCATGCCAGTGGCATAGCAAAATGTTGGAACCTACCAAGAAGATACTGTCAAACATTCTAAAGACTTTGTTCATTTTACAAAAAAAGAGACCACAAGGCTCTGTAGCTCACCTGACTTATGAAGAATTTCTATTGTAACAATTGTTTTGCAAAGGTCTCCCATATCAAAAGATGTAATATGGTGAAACCTTGCCTTGAAGATCCCACTGACCACCACTCTTCCTTTTGAAGTCCATTTAGTGTTTATGGCATCCATAGGAGAGAACCTACTTGTTAACCATTCATTCCCAATGTATGCAACTAATCTGATGAAACATTGAGGCAGGCTAGGGTAAGATATGCTTTTCCAATTTTGCACCTACATTGATATTAATTGATCACAACAACATTTTCACTTTGGTGACATCAACAATTATGCTGTATAGGTGTATCAAGGCAAAGGTCATAACACAGCAAAAAATGGAACATTTGTTTGGCCTCACTACTAACTATACCTGAGGCAAAGTTCAGTACATTGTGATTAATTGGTTTCTAAAGATGGCCTTGTAGTTTCAGGGGAGATGTTGAAAATGAAGAAGTTAAAAATGGAGGGTCAACTGGATGGACACAAGGATGGTGGACAACGTGCCATGACAGTAGCTCACTTGACTTTCAATCAGGTGGGCTAAAAACCTTGAGGCGATTTTTATCATATGGTGGATAAAAGTTATTTCATCAAAAGTAGAGAAATGAAGTGATGGAAAGGCTGGTAGAATTAATGTTTCACTTTGATTATTGATTGAGATCAATTCTTTATGATATGCAGATGAAGTAGAAAAGAAACCCCTATTTGTCAGTTTCTTTCATTGAAAAGAGGGAGACCCTTAATACAATATGGTTCCTATGTTCTGTGATCTAGGTCTCATGCTGTTTGAGTAACATCACAAGTGCTTAAATATTAGTCTTCTTCATGGAGTACTTTTTTCAGGATCAAACTGACTAAACTGGGCATCTTCATGCTGTTTCTATATGTCTGAACTCTATGATCATTCATATCTTGGGTGCAAGGGATGATTGGAAGAGGTTAATATGCAAAACATCTGATGCAAATGTTTATATGATTATCAAGCAAGTTATGACTGATGATTCCTATAAATATTTAATGAATACTAAATCAAAATTATGTTTTTTATTTTTAGACATGATTTTAAGTACAAATTTTTGTGTGGTGGAAATGTGTTATTTCTACTTTTTCCGCTCCATAAATTGCTTGATAATATAACGGACATGTGATTCATATGTTGTGACAATGTGACTGTTAGTCATCTGTCATGTTCTAAAAGAAATGAAAGTTTAAAACAAACTGATATTTTCTGATGTTCTGATGGGTTAGTTTTTACAATACAACTGTTAAAGAAATATTAGAAACAGTGATCTACAGATTCAAAGTGTTTGATTTGTGAACATAACAGACAGAGGAATGACAAAGACATCACAAGAACATCATAAACATGTGACTTACCTGACAGAGAAGGGATATATAGCTTGATAATACCCCGAAAGCATAAACAAAAGTTTGCTTCACATTGATTGTCTAATTTACACTCCCTTGTTTTGATTGTTGCTTTTCGCAATGAGATGTCAGTGAATTGTTGGTAATAGTTGAAGATGATGTACTTCATGACATTACAGAAGATCTCATGTGACATCACTTATAGCTGGCTTTGCTAATATCAGTTGTAATGACTGCCAAACAATTTCTGAAAGACTATAAATATCTTTTTAAGATACATTATCCTAAATTCCTTGATGTTTACATGTTGACCTCTCACTTATCAGTCTCTGCCGTTCTAAAATCTTATAGATTTGGCAGACTATATTTCCCTTCCAGATTCTCAGACTCAACAACATTATGCTTGATTACACAAAACAAACAATGAAGGCATTGGATCTTTGTAGTGCCCAATAAATCACAACAAACTATTCATTTTTCCATTGTGGAAGCTAATATTGACTTGTTATACAATCAAATCTTTGGATGATTTGAAAATTTCAGATTGGAATGGAAAAACAAACACTTTATAGTCATCTCCTGACACACAAAGCTGTAACACATGCATTGAAAATATTTGAATCACACAATAGTCCTACCTCTCCCTGAAACCAGACAAAGAGGGACACAGTTATTACATGGTCTTCAGATGGACAATACACAATCACCATATAACACCTTACCATGTACATCAAACAAGGGTGTATTGATACCACCACTAGGCTGGTGGGTCATATCTGATTTCATCATATCAGTAGTTATGTAGTACAGGCAACCTGAACACACTGTTGCTCCTGGTAAGTGAGCGAGTATGATTATGGTTTTACACTGCCTTTTGCAAAAATCTAGCTATATCACGCTAGTGGACATGAGAAATGGGCTTCACACATAGTGGGAATCAAAGCCGGCTTTTGGAATGAATTGTTTTAACCAAAAGGCTACCTGATTACCTATGCATTTGAGGAACCATCACTTGAGTTGTCGACTATTCTCTTTGACAATAAATTTAATTGACGAAGATGAAAGATGAAAGAAAAGAGCTGATGAGAATACATGTATATCTGAGCTCTTCCGAAGTCCACAACCTCATGACTACATGGAAACAAAACACTAGTACACTAGGTATATGATTCCAGTACATACAATATGCGAATGTTAATGTACAACTAAAAGCATGTGTTGATGTGAGTGTATCATGTGTGAATTAGACGAGTAATTGATATCAGTTAGAAATATATTGAAATTAGACACAAATGAAAAATATCATTCCACTAGTATATTTTCTGTGATGCATGTTATGCAACAATTTCATATGAGTTACTCATCTAAATTTAGATCTAAGCACAAATAACAAAATTTTGAAAGAAACACAACTGTGAATGAAGGTTATGTGAGATGACAAAATTTGAGCTATCATTACAATAAACATCTAACCTGAAGTTACTATTACTCATGAAAAGTTAAACACAAAATACCATTGGGTGGTATCACCTGATCTCTTTGTTAAGTTCTTAAATTACCTGTCATGTTTCAAAGAAGAAAGTGTTTGAAAAAATCCTTCCTAATCATCACAAAAGTATTTCATTTTTAACAGTTAAACCAGGTGCTAACAGGAAGAAGCTCCTTTCTAAATGCCTGTTAAACCACAGATTAACTATTAGTAATGTATTTATGCCTTGTCTTACATACCGTTGGTGACAGGATTGAGCACAGCATCACTCATCTCCTGCAGTGTCACATCACTTTCAATTTCCACAAGGTTCAAGCCTTGGGACAAGGCGATGTTCTCAACTTCATCACGCTGACGTAGGTTGACACCAAGGGGAACAACAGTAATACCAGCATCAAAGGCAAGTTCAGCTTCAGACATGGTGATATCTCGATTGATGTTGACATCTCCACTGGTTAGCAAGTAGGCAATATTCTTGGCGAAGGGGCGATCACCTGATGCACCATTGAACATGACTTGGCGTGTAACTCTGAGGGCATCTGCAAGGTTGGCCTGGCCTCGTGTGTAATGGATACCGCGGAGAGCACGGCTGATGGTCTCCTGGTCTTGGTAGGCTCCTAGGCCAAACTGCACCATAGCACTAGAGCTGTACTTGAGGGCACCAACATTGATGTCACAGGCATCCATGTTCATCTGAGCCAGGATCTGCTGAGCATACATTTGGATCTGCTGGAAGCCGGAGGGGCCGACTGATGTCGAGGAGTCGAGGATGAAGACGACATCGGCAGCACTGCCACAGGCTGGGAAACAGATAAGGATCAGGTTCACAGTATATGTAACAATCATAGTTATTACTTTCATTATGTACACAAATTGTATTTTCATTCTGAATAAAGCTTTGGCTTTGGATAGGAAGAAACTTGGGAGAGTTGAGTGAGAGCTTTGAGCAGGCAGTTATATCACTGCATGTCAGCTTGATGTCGGAAGAAAGGTCACTGCAGGTTTTAGAGGTTTACCAACTTTGGTGAAACCACAACAGTGGTATGGTGCTGACAAACAATGTATCATAATCACAGCAAATCTGGGATTTGAACCTGTAGTGATTTGATGTGCGAAATAGTGGCAATTTAGACAACTTGGCCACTTGTGCCCCCAGTAGAAAGAATGAAGTTTTAGTAATAAAGTATGATTCAAATATACCGTATTCTCTTGAGTATAGTGTGCACCCATGTATAATGCACAACCCCCTCTAGCGGATTCAATATTTTGGAGAAAAAAAATATTTGTGGTTGCTGTTAATAACGGTGAGTTGTGCGATCTTCCGATCACTTCACACACGATTTCGCTGAAATTAATTAAAACAATATAATTTTTTTTGTGAATAACATTAATGAAATAAGTTACAAACATAAGTCCAGATATACAAAGAACACTTTCTATAGCCAGACAGTGTAATTACATGATTAATTTGCGTACTTCAGTATGGATTTGTTGACATGGTATTTCCGGTGTTACGTGCTCACGGTAATGTCTTTCCACGGGGGGAAAACATCAAAACTCATTAATTCGTGTATAATGCCCACCCCCTTCTACACAGCTGTGTTTTTTGGAGAAAAAAAGTGCACAGTATACTCAAGAAAATACGGTATCTATGTCACAAGTTCTTCCTAAACAAGCAAGTAATTTGCAAGCAGATGTAACATAAATATTGATTCAAGAAGCTGTATACAACGGTTTCAACCTAAGACCTTGAATATTTCATACTGACACTATGATGTGGCCAATCCCACATCTACAGGGTGATTTTGCAGAATAGTGACAAAACATATATATGTGAGGATATATTTCATGGATTCTTAGTTAAACAGAAAAATGATTTTCAATTTTTGTCCCACTTTGTACATTTATTTTTAAACCAACAGTAAGAGATATACCCCAGTCAGTAATAATAAAAACAAATTATTTTTCTCAGTGAAGATGTTATAATCTTAATCTCTTTACCATGTCAAATATCCAAGTAGTGTTTCTTTTGATTGCATAGCGTTGTGAATTATGCTGATATACTTATGCAGAGATATAAGGTAGGTAATTGTTTATCTTGGTACAAGAAATGTAATATTGTTTTTCATGCCTAACACTCACTCTTCTCGCAGTTGTCACCAAAGAATCCTGATGGGCAGATACAGGTGTAGCTCCTGAGTCCATCCACACAGTTGCCACCATTCTGGCAGGGGCTTGTATCACACTGATTGGGATCTGAGGAAGAAATGTTGAAAGAGGCATTAACATTAGGCTCTTCAACATAGATAAGAGAGTAAAAGTTGATAGCTGCCGTTAGCAATATTCGAGCTACATCACAGAAGCCTGTAATTTACTTAGCCTGTACCAGACACACTGGTGACTGAATAACGAATGCTCTATCCTGCTCTATTCTGCTAGAGGGGAAACAATCAGCTAGCGGATCTATCTATACCACTGACCTGTACAAATTGGTCTGATAATGTAGTCAGTGAGTTCTTGCAATGCATAGAAGTCATCTACATAGAAGAGATTCTCATGGATGGGTGGAGATGTCATGCCAGTCAGTTCTGCAGTAGCGCCAGAGAAACCAACAGCCAAGGTAAGGATGGTGATACCCTCCCGTTTCATTCTTTGGGCTTCTGGGAGGGTCTCATAGTGATCAATATTAGACTGACCATCAGTGATGAGCACAACCATGTTAGGTGAACCTAAAAAATACAAAAAAATTAGAGCAAAACATGTAGATCTTGATTGCTCCAATATATTTGTATGCCAGCTCCAGAGTTGAACTGATGAGCATAATAAACCTAAGCTTCAGTATAACATCTGAGAGCTGGTAGCAAGGTGAATTCAAATCATCATCATGCATCAAGATATACAATACTCATTTTTAAAATAACAAGCGTATAGTAACTTGTTGCAATGGAAACGTAAAAAATAAAAATTTATAAAATTCCTAAATAACAAAAGGCACCAGTTCAGTATGTGCCTATTAGACATGCAAAGTTTTGTAAGAAATTATTTAACGGTTTTTGAGTTACGCTCCGGAAACGAACACCAGCCCTATAGAACCTAAGTCCAACTTATTGCCATGGAAATGTAAAAAATAAAAATTTATAAATTCCTAAATAGCAAAAGGCACCAGTTCAGCATGAGTCTGATAGACATGCAAAGTTTCGTAGAGAAATATTTGACGGTTTCTGAATTATGCTCTGGAAACGATTTCCGCACGCACTCACGCACGCACGCACGCACGCACGCACGCACGGAACCCATTTCTATAGAGAAATAATTAGACAGTTATTGTGTATGTTGAACTTAACACTCTTTGAACAGTATTTCAGCTATATCATAGATTGGGAGGATGTGGGAGGGAAACTTGAAAAGATGGAGGGCTAAAATATTAACAACTTTAGTAAAACCTATGAGCACACATATGTAGCTGACAACAAGAGTGACTGAGTGAGTTGGTGGGTTAACGCCGCTTTTAACAGTACTCTAGTTATATCATGGCTTGTCAGCTTAATGTGAGTGAGGCTCGAAGTGATGTAGGTCTCAGCGGTTTACCACTTTGGTGAAACCCGGGTATGATGCTGACAAACCTAGACACATAATCGGGGCGAACCGGGATTCGAACCCACAATCATAGGTTTCTGGTGTGTCCAAGAGATGCACAGCGAATCGCAGCAGCTTAGATGACTTGGCCACCCGTGTCCCGCTGACAATAAGAGCAACAAGACCCTTGCCATAATATAAGAAATCTCTGCTTAAAGCAGAGTCCATTGTACAATCCTGACTATATCTTAAGCATGAGTTTATAAATCACTATAGAATAGTAATGGTACCAGGAGTTTGCACCCATCACAAACACATGAAAAGAAACAAACTGTACAAGTCAAAATAGGGAATTTGCATTGTGATCTTATCATGGTGAATCAATGATTTCAACCAACAATCATGGGATGATGACTGGCCACACATTCTTCAGTTATATATATATTTCACTGTTTCCTCCCATCATACTTGTGCCTTCACAAAATGACAAGGTAACAAAATGTGTGTATTAACATGACAACAGAACAACTCAGTTTCATTTTGATGCTAGTCATAATATACAGAATTAAGCATAACTGAGATTCCAAAATATTTAAATCTATTGTCATGCAATACTGAGGTCCATTTCACCAGCTGCAAGAAAACTTACTTGGTCTATCGCCAGCAGATGTTGAGAAGATCTCTCGACGGGTTCGGCGCAGAGCTTCAGCTGTGTTGGTGTAACCGTATATATAAGGTGTATTCCTGACTGCTTTGACTATCTCATCCTTACTATTATATCTATCAAGGGTGAACTCAATACGTGCAGCATCACTGAAGGTTACCATGCCAATGCGGTAGAGGCCAGCATCAACGTCAATACCATTGATGATTGTAATGGTAAAGTTGCGGATTCTGTCAAAGTTCTCCGTTCCAACACTTCCAGAAGAGTCAATGATGAAGACAACATCTGCTGTTGACGTGCACACTGTGGGGAAATACAACAAGAGTCATCAGAAGACAGACTGGCTGATCGTTATATCCCCCCGCATTATATGCCGGGGGATAACAAATAATATAAATACTTCATAGAAATATACATGATATACCAGTATACAAGATGATTTAACTTACTGACTATAAAATAACTATTTTGTGAAAGTATTCATATGGCAAATCACCATTTCTGTCACTTTCCATACACCATACACTTTCCAGAAGTACCGGTATTGGTATTGTTACCCTACCTGGTGGGGGTCCTGTGTACTTGGTCCTGGTTGGGCGTGGTGTTGTTGTCGGTGGAGGAAGGGTTTCTTGTGGAGGACCTACAAGACAACAAGTCTATTAACCTCAGCCACAATTTATGGATTCACTGTACCTCAAGCTTATATGAACGCATCATGTGCACTAACATTATGTCTACTGATGTATTTTGGTTTAAGCACACATAAGTATTCAGCTCACCATTTTCAATTCCATATGCCAGTCTTCCAGGCAGTTCAGCCATCTCAATCTCACTTCCAAGCAATACCTGGAAGTCATCCAGAGGCAGGGAAGAGACTGAATCAATTTCATCGGTGTTGCCCAGTTTAATGCCAACAGTGTATATAGCAACATTTCGGTTCTTTAGTCTACGGGCAGAATTGATTGCTCTGCGGGAATTCAAACTCTTCTCATTGGCAGTGACCATGACAACGTAGTTCTTTGCCTGAGGCCGGTCACCATTTCGTGACTGGAACATCTGGTTGTAAACTGTGTCAAAGGCACGGGCCATGTCTGGGGCACCACCAGGATTGTTCCTCATTGTTCTGCCAACAGCATTCCGATAGTCATCACTGAAGCCATAGTCATCCAACTGGAAGCCCACCTCTGGTGAACGAGTGAAGGTCATTCCTCCCAAACGGTATGTGCCATCATTAACTTGATCGCTTACTTCATTTGCCATGTTCTTTACAAGGTCAGTCATCCATGTGAACGTTTTGTCATTGACAGTACCATCCAGCATGAAGATAACATCATAGCCTGTCTCCTTGTATGCTGTCAACATATGTCAATTTGTTAACATGGAAAATAATCAAACATCCTTTCTGATGCATTTTGATTGAATAATGTAATATTGTAGTGTCACTGATACCTTCAAAGCTACTCTTTTCAAAGGAGTGAAAACAAATATTACTTTTAGGGAGAAAGAAATAGAACTATGGTTCACAGATGTCATAATTCTAGTGATTTCCGAGAAGGAATCCAAAGGTATAACAACAGATGGTTCACCATGTCATATAAGCTCACACGGCTCATTGACAGATTATCTGAATGTTGAAATAACAAACAAATAGCTCTTATTTATTATATATGAGCAGAATAAAGATATCCCATGCAACTTGCATTGTTTTCATTCTTACCCCTTGGTCTAGTCGTAGTTGTTGGAGCAGCTGGAATACAAAGCAACAGAAAGTTGAAGGGATGGGTTGCTACAATAAACAGAGCTGGAATAACTTGAACACTGATGAATACATACCCTGACATGGGCAAAATTCTTACATAAACATGTGACATCACGTCTTTCTAGTAGTTAGTTACGAAATATTGCTGTGAGCAAATTTCCTTGTTAATTTATTATCTTTATATTAGCTGTAGCTGTATTATGTATACATATACTTTGAAACATTGTTAGGTTGTACATTTGAAGGTACAGAAGACAGAAATTGTTAAGTGTCAGTTAAGAGCTTAAATTACACAACTTGTGAAATAGACAGAAATATTAGTTTTGATTAAATCTAACTTTATCAAGTTACTTTAAGATGAGAGAAATATGTAACTGAAAAAATCTGAAACTTCATTATTGGATAAGAAGGAACATAGAATAAGGAAGATAGATCAACCAACTGGAATATCCATGTGAAAAGTAGATTTAGGTAAATATGGTAAATGAAATGCGTAAAAGAATACAAATAAGTTGAATTAACAAGTGTGTTCATTTATGCTTTGGAGTTTTGATTTTATGACTTTAAGTAGGAGTCAATGAATATTCCAGTCAGCCTTAGCTACTTCCAAATGTGATGCCTATATACATATAAATATGTAAACTGTGATGCCTTGAAGTTGACAATGTATGGTGGTAAATCTTGCAAATTAAAGCATCACATGGAGAAGTTGAAAAACTGAGACAAAAGAGAAGCCTTTATGCATATTATGTGAGTGGTAGGTACTACTGGTATAGAGGGACATGCTTACACTTTTTGTGAACACCTGGTGTAATCACTGATTTCAGGGATCCATTCATATAATCTTGTCCACTCTTTTGCTTTTTACACCCAATGGAACTGCTTTAGCAGATACTCGCTACTGATTATTCTCTGGCGTTGACGTTTCATGTATTTGGGTTACAAAAACCAAAACTGACATGGTTCAGGATAAAACATCTTCAAAATTGAAAGATATATAGTTTTCTTTGTAAACATATAATTGTTATAGACTTGAATGTAAGGTCAGGCCAAATTAATTTAGGCCGTTGAGTTGTCTACATTTTGGTCACTGCATAAAGACTTCCTTTTCTGAGGCTTTTTTCATTCTTTGGTTTACAGATCAACTACAATCACCGAAACATCTCATAAATGTGAATTTTCTTCTTCCTGCCATTTGCCATTTCAAATTTTACGAAACCACTCCAAAGTCGATTGGTATAAGATTCAACACTAAAGGAGCACATTTTTTTCATTTGAATGGTATTATATTTCTCCTTACAAAATATATTTTGAAAAGAACATTTAAAAATTATGTGTTTGCAATTTTCTTTTTTTGACTATTTCTTAGAAATAATAATCTGTAAACCAAGTAATATAATAGTCCTAAAGATAGTAGAAGTGTGTGATAAGAGGGCTAAGAGTGAGAAGTGAAAACATTGGAACATTAGTCATAGGTGATGGCTTGACGGACTAGAAAACTACAAAAACACCCCATGCATCTTTGACAAAAGACTCAACAAACACATGGAGGTGCAATAACAACATGTGTGCATTAAAGTGACAACAGAACAGCATTGGAACGAAGGAAACTTGGGAATAATGTGCTGGATGGTAAAGTCTTAAAAGTTGTGCATAAGAACATAGGAACAAAACATCACTGATCACAGCAGTAGGAGATTGGGAGAAGGACATATAGCCGCATAGGAGCATAGAATTCTCAAACAATAAGTTTGTAATGGATGATGTTCATTATCAAGCTTATTGCCTCAAGAACATGCCAACCTTCTTATATCTTCAATGATAATACCATATGTGTATACATATGAAGAAGGAAGATTGACTGAGATACATAGGGGTAATTGGTGCTGCAGGAGGGTTGCTGCTGACAGGATGTACTGCAGGTATGGCATCATGGTTCTAAAATAGAAACACCAGGAACACCAGAAATATGGACATGCAAGGAGATATATGCACTAATAGACATGGATATAATTTATCTGAAACCTGTAGTGGTGGTTGTTGTTGGCGGTGGTGGTGGATCCCCTGAGAGGAAAGAGAAGACAAACCATCAACATTAGCAGAATGTGAAAATCACAACCAACTACACATCAGCAAGTTTCTTTATTCAAAGAAAATCAATACATTGAAAAATTAACAAGTACCTTGTGGTATATTTCATCTATAAAAACATTTACAAACACACTAATATGATTATCACAAATGACATGTCAAAATAATACAAAATCTCAATATGGACCTTGGATGGTACTGAGAGTTAACTTTATGTAATATATTCTTAACTTATCATAACAAAAACAAAAATTTCTTATTTGATAGGCATTTAGAAGTTGGAGTTCTAAGTAAGGATAAGAATTTAAGGATGAACAACTTCTTTATTACAAATAAAAGCGACGTTTCAGTGTAAGTTCTAACACCGTTATCAAGCAAGTGATAACGCTGTTAGAACCTACACCGAAACGTCGCTCTTAATTGTAATAAAGATGTTCATCCATAAATTCTTATCCTTACTTAAAAACAAAAATGTTTGATGAATTTTCCCCCAAGTCTTACCCATATTCTGATTAACATTTTTACAGTAATAAAGACCTACAATAGCTGGACCTACTCATAATGGCTTCCATTATGCCAGGCAGCTCTCTGAACTCTGCCTCTGATCCCAGCAGGTACTGGTAGGCATCAAGTGGCTTTGTGGTAATATCGTCTAAGTTCTGTGTATTCCTTAGATTCACGCCAACAGTGAAGATTCTCCCTCCTGTATTTTGGAACCTTCCGGCAGCCTGTTGTGCACGGCTTGCACTCAGACCACGTTCATTACCTGTCATGATGACCATATAGTTGCCTGCATTTGGACGGTCACCATTACCACGGGTGAACATCCGTGTTCGTACAGTGTCCATTGCTTGGGAGAAGCTTGGTGATCCTCCAGGACGGTTGAATGAGTTGAGATTGTTGTCCAGTGCATTGACAACATCTGTCTGCCAGCCATTGTCATTCAACTGGAAGCCCATGTTGGGAGATCTAGTGAAGGCCATTCCTCCAACTCGAAACTCGCCAGAATCAATGTTCATTGTATTAGCAAAGTTCTTGGCAAAGTTCTTGAACCATCCATAGATCTGGCGGTTGACAGTTCCATCCAGCATAAAGATGACATCAAAACCTGTGTCCATGTAAGCTATTAGAAAAAAAAGATAGAAAATACAATTAAACACACACAGTAGCAAAAATCCAATCTCATAACATTATCATAATGCAGATTACTTTACATTTTGTGAATTAAACTTCAATACTGATGACAAGAAATTAAATCAAATAACATAATATGAAAAACAAGATACACTATGAAAAGATAAAGCTTACAGTTTTGTGAACAGACTCAGTGACAGGTGTGTTAATGGTCATTGTTCTGACAATGATCTGAGCATGGAGTTATCCAAACAAGATGATCCCAACATAGTTAGTTGCTGCCTGAAGCTGGAGCCATCATCCATCATAACACATAGACTTTCTTGGTTTCAAAGATCCAAAGGCTTCCAAAATGCTTGCCAGATGCCACAAGGTATATGCGCCAGCCAATAGCGATCTACGCGCTGGTGAGTTGACTATGACAAACAGCCATCTTGCCATCCAGTTAGAGCCGCGAGCGAGCATTGGAAGATGTAAGTTCACTCGTCACACCAAGCCATTCCAATTGGCCAAACATTATAGGGTCTTCAGGGTTGTAAAGTTGGGTTAGAAGCTGCAGATGGAGATATGAGCCAGAGCTGAGGTGTCAGCCTTAGAACATATTGTTTGTCAGCCACGGAAATAATAGTGGTTGCAGTTGTCACACACAGTTTGCCATAGTGAGTCAGGGAACTGTTATTTTGTTCAGGTGTTATAAGAGAGAGGTAGGGTGTCTCTGTGGAGGTCAGCCAATTGAAGACAACACTCTATAGTATCACACAAATTTAGTAACAATGCTATTACATATATTTCGTCTGCACTAAATAGATACATTTCTACTTGATATAAGTTTTACTATTAAGTTTACACTGTTTTGATTTAAAATAATTGAGCCTGAAAGTATAAATTAACAGTATTATGCATATTAAATTTACTAAATAATCATATATTTAAATGTTGTAGATATATTTCAGAATAGTCTGGTTCTTATGTTAGATGATTAAGAATAATCTTACTTAAGCTCAGATCTATATATGAACTCACAGATGCTCTGCTGTTAGTTGCCAATAAGCAGCAGCACTAGATATGAAGATGCATGTAAAACACACATGTTGTGAACACATTACAGTTGCCCATTACATATTGGTAATTCATTTCCAAACGTCTTTTTATGTCAATAATAACTCTTCATCATATAAACAATTGCACAACGTTTATGGCGGTCAAAGCAGAGAGATCATGTTGTGTAAGTGAATCATGAACATCTACTGCACATAAAACATGGTTATGGAGACCTAAAATTGAATATTTATTACATAATCTCCCTCTTATCGCCTTACACACACGCAATATCACAACATGATTTGTTTTACTCTTATTGAAAATCACCTGGAGTAGGAGGCTTGGTTGGCAAAACCTGTCCAACTGAACAACAAACACAAACACTAATAAGAAACTAATTTCAAACAATTACATTACAGTGAGAATTTCATTCTACTGTAACAAGCTTTTTAACAGAGAACTTAATCCTTACAAGGAAACACCTATAAAATATCTGCAGAACTATACATATCTCTTGTAGATAAATGCAATGAGGTAAAGAATAATGCTAATATATATCTCAAGAATTAAAGATGTGTGTAGTGATTGAGATTTAGGATGCTTGTACACAGGATAATCCTTTCCAAGTGTCTTTTACTGTCTCATGCCTAGCATACCTCTAAGACTAGAGTTGATAATCCCTGGAAGCTCAAGCAACTCATCAAAAGTCCTAATGTAGAAGCGATGTTGATCCGCTGGCAGTGAAGACACAGCATTAAGTTCCTCTTTGTCTCCAATGTTGAATCCAACTATGTTAATACTCACTCCTTTCTCTTTTAATCGTTTGGCTGCATGGAGGGTTTTATTCTTATGAGTACTATAATCATTGGCTGTTATCATTATAACAATGTTCTGGGCTTGCGGACGATCTCCATTACTGTAGGTAAACATTCTGGTACGGACATAATCAAGAGCTTTATCAAGACTTGACTTGTAAAGGCTGGAACCAGGGAATTTGGAGTTGATAGCATTGAAGATATAAGGCTGGTAGCCATAGGTGTTCAGGTGGAAGCGCAATTTTGGCAGTCTGGAGTATGTGATTGCTCCAATCCTGTATTGGCCAGAGAAGATGTCCAACTTATCTACAATCTCGGAGGATAGATTTGTCATCCATCCATAGTAGATGCGGTCCACAGACATGTCCAGCATAAATACAATGTCATAACCATCTTCACTATGGACCACTGGGAGAAGAAAAAACCAATTTGAATGGACCGGTTGACAATATACTCATATATTACCCCTGAATCATGCAAGATAAAAATACAGCCAAACGGTGATAGTTTTAAATATATGATATCATAATTTATAAATAGATGAAGGCTTTACATTATAAACATAATTCAATTGGTTGACTTCAATCATTCTTATGCATAGAGGGAAAATTCAGTTATTTATGGCAGTCAAATATCTGCCTAAAAAGCTATTATTGAACATTAAAAATACACCTGGCTTAGTCACTATTGAATACTATGTAATGAGTCAAATATTTATAAATACTTTAAAATTAAAATGCATTTTACAGGATCATGATGTGTTAAATTGGTTCCTGTTCCCAAAATGTACTGTATATGGCATCCTATACTAAATATGGACTAACCAAAGATCAGAATGAGCAGATATCTAGAGACAAATTAGTTTGCCAATCTAAGAAGCATCTGTCAGGCTTACCTACAGAATCTCATTCATATGTTTAGCATCTATCATATGATGGCCAATTAAGCAGAGTGAGTGAGTGAGTATGGTTTTACGATGCTTTAAGTAATATTCCAGCAATATCATGGCAGGGGACACTAGAAATGGGCTTCACACATTGTACCCATTCCGGGAATTAAGCAGAGAAATAAAGACAAACTAGGTAGTTATTGCATGATAAGTATTAAGCCTACTCAAGAATGTGTCACAGGAAAGTGAGGAAGAACATTTTTTTACCTCAGATACTAGAGAAATAAGCAAAACTACATTGTATTATTTGGCATAGTCTATTGTAAACGAGCAGAGAAACCTACTGGTCATGACAACTATGCCCTATGTGAATAGTAACCTGGTGATCTGGTGACTGGACTTTGAATAGTTGGGACTGCAGTGAGCTTTGCTGACAGAGGACCAATCAGTGATGTCATGATGGTAAGGAATTTTTTCAAAAATAAAACACAATCAAAAACTCATCAGGAACCAATTAAAAACAGGATGAAAGGATCAGCCAATATAATTTTTCAGTGACGGATCCAGAGGGAGGGTTCTGGGGGTGGCCAACCAATTTTTTTTTTACATCTGATAACATTTTGTATGTGCAGGGCCTACCATGATATGTTCATTTGGTTGTGAAAGTAAAATTAATAATGGTTTAAATATAGTGTTTTCGATTTTCGGGTGGACTTCCCCTCACCCCACTGAAGTTACAATTTGCCAAAGTGGAACCCCCCTTTTATAACATTCTGTTTTTTTATGAGTATACATAATATACTTCATGTTGTGTTATCGATTTGAGTTGTCTACTAGTTTCTCAATATAACTAGCCTTTGTCAACAATTTTAGCACGTAGTCTCATCCAGATAGATCTGTAGAATTGGTATTTATGGTTCACCAATGCCGTGCCTATTCATTATAGTAACCATCTATAAGATACAGTATGGTTATAACTCCAAGTGACCACTTATTTTAGTTCGTTATAACCGCAGCATATGACTGGGACCAAAACAGTTAATTATATCCATCAGTTCAAAATAAGTTTGTTCATTATAAACATAGTTTACTGTAAGCCCAAAGCAAATTATATCCTATCCAAATACCTGGTAATCTCTGAACTAGCAATAGTTCTCCTTTTCAACCCTACTACACCTACCCTCTTTCATTCGGTGCTGGATCACTTGAGTAAAGTTCTCTAGTTCCTGTCCATCTTGTATCAGGTACTGGAACTCATCCAGTGGTTTGGAGGATATAGAATCGAGCTCATATGTGTCATTTAGTTTGATCCCTACTGCATACACGCCTACACCTGTATCCTTCAACCTCTGAGCAGCAGAAATGGTTTCCTCTGTGTGAACACTTTCATGACTGTCTGTCAGTAGCACGACAAAGTTTGAAGCTTTTGGTCTATCCCCTGCTTGAGGAGTGAACATATTGGAGAGAACATGGTCAAAGGCCAGAGCAACATTTGAAGGTGATACTCTTGGTAGATTGATGAACTTGTCATCTATGATATCCAGGATCTGTTGATGTTTCGTGTATTCATCAAGATCCACAATGGTGTTGGGTTTTTGACTGTACCTCATTGACCCTACTCTGTACTTCCCTGATTTTATGTCCAGGGTAGATACAAATGTTTTCACAAATTCATGGATCCAGTCAAAGTGTGGCAACCTTGCTGTTTCGTCCAACATGAAGATGATGTCATATCCTTCCTTGTCAGCAGCTATAATGATACTTAATACGTAGAATGTAGTCTACCACTTCCTAAATCATATCTTGAGGTTAACCGGAAACTTAAAAATCATATAAACTTTTTAGACACTAAGATATATATGTTTTCAAGAAAATAAGGAGAAAACTGAATAAAACTTTGAAACATATTAAAGATATCTTTGTTCAAGGTTCCTTCGATGTTAAAATGGAATTAGTTTGCTAGTATCCTCAGTGAGGTCTCTACCCCAACGTCCTTGATGTCTGCAGTGCCTGGCATCATAAGAGTTACTTCTAAAGTGTCATGTTTCCTTGGTGATCTGTTTTGTTGCATGGAAACTCCTTGCTCAGTTCATTTTTTCATACGTAATGTCTCCAACAGAGAGCCATAAAGTGTCACATATTAACTCTTGTCACTGAGCCATATCCAAACCTGTCTGCTGAAATATTATATATGCAAGTCAATGTTTGAATTAAAAAAGGATGTTCTTTTCACACAAACAGGATCAGTGTCACAGATCACAGAGACAAGGCACACAGTGGCAATGGCACACAACACAAACAATACTGGACATGACATGAAACATAAGGAAAACAAACACAATAACACTTGTCTGAAAAATCAACACAATTATCAACTAAACATAATTATAAAATACCTAAATTTTTATAATCTTAACTTCAGTAAATACAATAAGAACCCAAAATCTAAGAAGTACAAGACACAACAACAACAATGTTGGATACATCATGCAGGGAAAATGTAGTTCTAGAAAACATGCAGATGGAGGTTCTTGAGGAACTCATGGTCATTCTTCTCAGTGTCAGTTCTGTGCATTCCTAGATCTGTGATGTCTTTCTTCTTGACGAGCTAGGCTAGACATCTAATTTTGCAATCAGTTTGTACTTCAGTCTACAAGGGGTCACTCCATCTCTGCAACTGCAAGGATTTGCATAATTCTCTATACTACAAGCCTTCCTTTGTCTATCCTATCTTGCTACATGTGTGGTGGGGCTGTAACTAAAACTACAGGAAATGAATGATGAAATTAAGTGCAAAGAACAGATTGGGACACAAGGAAAGAAAGAAGGTCGGGGCTAAAGGAAAACAAACTCATGATTCTTTAACTCTTGCCGAATTCCTGTATTGTTTGTTGGATTTTTAACTGACAAGATATTAGAATATTGGTGAATTGCAATTTTTACAATGGTCAAGCATACACTGAAATGGGCATATTCCTTTTTCCACTTCTTCAAAAGAAGATTACTGATGGTTTATAAATAGATGAAGATGATCATGTATGTGGATAATCCTTTGGAAGAATGGTTTCTTAACTGTAGAAAATGTGACTGAATGCAATCTTGGAAAATGTAAGGAAACAGTTGGAAAGCAAATTATGTCTGCTTTCTTGAAATAAGGATTATGAATGTTGGGGCTGATTTAGAGATAAGAATCAAAAACATGATGAGAAAATACATTAATAATAGCGACTTGGAATTCAGGACACTATGGAAAATGTATGGGAAGTTGTGGAGTTGACAATCGTGGGTCTATAACTATGGAATCATTGGATTGAGGAAACTGAGGATATTCTAAGAAAGATGACATGTCATAATGACAAGTGTGAACCTGTTGGTCTTGGAGTAGTGGGTGGTGGCAGTGTCACAGGAGCAGCTGAAGGCAGAGCATATTTTCTAGTTATCATTTGCAGATTGGTTTTCTCATATTTTGAAGAGACTCAACATTTTCAAGGTCTAAAACTGCCTATACATTCTATACAACTCGGGATAAAAGTTTGCTTACTTATTAATGAATAAAAATAGATTTTTAACTCTTTCGCAAGATTATAGATTATTAGATAAAGAGAATTCAATTTCCATGAGGCCTGATTGTGCAAACACACCATTTGAAAAGTGGTAGCTGATGATCCCTGGCAGCTCCTCAAGTCCACCTTCCTCATTGATGAGGTACTGATACTGATCCAGTGGATGAGTTGTTACTGCATCTAGCTCATCTGTGTTACCCAGGTTGAAACCAATGGTGAAAATTCCAGTTCCCTGATTCTGGAGCCGCTGAGAAGCACCTATAGCAGCACCAGTGTTCAAACTTTCCTCATTGGCTGTCATCATTATGATAAAGTTGCGAGCATTGGGACGATCCCCTCTACGAGCAGTAAACATGTTGTTTCTAACATAGTCAAAGGCTCCACCCAAATCTGGTTTTCCTCCTGGAGTGTTCCTGGTCTTGGATTTGAGACCTTCCATAACTTCTGACTGCCAACCATTGTCATTTAGATTAAAAACAAGATTTTGTCCTCTGTTGAAGATCATGGCTCCAACTCTGAACTCCCCGGAATCAATATCCATTTGTGATGCAAAGTTGCGAGCAAAGTTCTGCATCCATCCAAAGTATCTGTTGTCGACAGTTCCATCAAACATGAAGATGATGTCATAGCCTGTATCACTGTAAGCTACAAATTTGTTGAAAACATCATTATATTGCTGGTATAAAGAGATCTATCTTCTGACAAGCCTCACAGACAACATAATTAACCTAACACAGAAAACACAAGCACTTTCATTGCAACACACAATAATATTCTTAATACTTCATGCTTTTATACATAATCTGAAAAAAAATAATTATTGATTGCATACATATTATGAGAACAATGTGAAACATAAACCAAAATGTTCACAAGTTCAGAATTAAAAGTGATTATATTTTAAACATCTTTTCTCAAAGCATGCTATGTGCAGATGCATGTAGAGTCTCTTGTGTTTGAGACACATGGATGAGACATTTATGTGGTACAAGGTGCCATTTCATAAAACAGGAATCTAAAATCTGGAAACCATTCAAATTGCAGTACTTAGAGAAGTAAGAAGACAGTTTGGTGTAGTATAGACTGCCACAAACTGAAGACAATGGAAGGAGAGCTATGAATCTAAAAATAGAGACAAAGCAGTAAAGAGAAATGAAGCAAGACAGATAGAAAACCAGAAAATGCAGCAACAATACTCAAGAGTGCAACACAAGGAAAGTGGGAATCTAAGAAGGGGTCAATTAAGATATTGACATCAGTGTCAAAACAAAGATGCACAGTATTCCCATGGCAAAAAGAAGTTCGTTGGCTGAACAAATGATAGGGGAAATAGATGGTTGTGTGGATATATAGAAGGCTGAAAGCATTCAATGAGTCTTTGAATCTCTATTTTCAAAGTGATTGAATGAGTAAAAGACTACTGGTACTATTAGGTTAGAATGAGCAAACACTGAAAGAGATATGTTTCTTTTGCAGGGAAAGGACATAGCATATGAAGTTCCTACAGACTGTCAAGATTTATTAAGGTATAGACTCGATCCTGCAATTCTGTCACTGAAAATGACAAAAGCAAGAAAAGTCTTCACAACTAGTAATTGAGTTGATTTGAATGTCAGTAACAGATTATAAAAGGCCTGACAACTGTCTGGTGCTTTCAATGGACAAGATTCTACTTGAAAATTCATTCATCTTGGGTAAAGAAACTGTAACTTTTCTAATATTCTACAGATGGTGATTCTGTGCGTGAGGGTAACAGGAAGTAGAAGAGGGAGCATGACAAGAGATGTGCAGGGGAAATCTTGGCACATCAAGATGAATATAAAAATCAACCTGTTGGTCTTGGTGTAGTCGTTGGTGGCAATGTCACAGGATAAGCTGTAGACAAAATACAACACCAACTGTTCAACATAACGAACCAGACAAACATTCCAAATTGTTATTTTGTTGTATAATTTTGTGTGAAACAAGGCTGGTCATTACAATTCTTCAAAACAAATTCCTCTAATATTTCAGAAAATGAAGGTTTTACAACAATGACATGATATCAGATGATCATATATATTTTGAAGATAAGAGTTTTCAGTTATATATTATCACAATTGCATTAATATTTTTTGTTTATCCTATTATAAAGAAGAAAAAGGAACTGAATTTTCATGAGGCCTGATTGTGCAAACACACCATTTGAAAAGTGGTAGCTGATAATCCCTGGCAGTTCCTCAAGTCCACCTTCCTCATTGATGAGGTACTGATACTGATCCAGTGGATGAGTTGTTACAGCATCCAGCTCATCTGTGTTACCCAGGTTGAAACCAATGGTGAAAATTCCAGTTCCCTGATTCTGGAGCCGCTGAGAAGCACCTATAGCAGCACCAGTGTTCAAACTTTCCTCATTGGCTGTCATCATTATGATAAAGTTGCGAGCATTGGGACGATCCCCTCTACGAGCAGTAAACATGTTGTTTCTAACATAGTCAAAGGCTCCACCCAAATCTGGTTTTCCTCCTGGAGTATTCCTGGTTTTGGATCCAATAGCTCCTATAACTTCTGACTGCCAACCATTGTCATTCAGATTGAAAGCAAGGTTTTGACCTCTGTTAAAGGTCATAGCTCCAACTCGGAATTCCCCAGAATCAATATCCATCTGAGAAGCAAAGTTGCGAGCAAAGTTCTGCATCCATCCAAAGTATCTGTTGTCGACAGTTCCATCAAACATGAAGACGATGTCATAGCCTGTATCACTGTAGCCTAAAAAGCCATTAACAAATAGCAAAAATGAAATATAGAAACAGGTTCCTGTTAAGTCTTAACAATGGCATACAAGTGGAGTGTTGCAACACCTGACAATATGATGATTTAAAATCAACAATATTTCTAGAATCATCTGAACACAAACATAATTTGATTGAATGATCACTATAACCAGAAATCGTTGCCGATCATACTAAACTCAGGGTATGTTGTTAGCCTCAACTCGTTAGTTACTTTGACATTTTAACAATGATGGCTGTACATCAAACTTGACATGATGCTGACATACCACTTGTCTACATTTGGAATTTGTTTGAAATCTGTTAATATTTGGCTACTGTCCAGAAAACAGTAGCTGGTGTAATTATACAATCTAATCATTGTCTACAATGGTCACATTTATTTGATCTGATTACATATGGCCTATTCATAACAATTTTATGTTTTTAGACATTTGAATAAAGTCAAAGGCATGCTGTGATATTATCTTGATGTCATTGCTGTATCTGCATCTTTTCACTATGATGAGCAAGCATCTTGGTTCTGCCCTAGCACATGAATAAAACATCTGTCATGTGCTTTTGTCAACAATGAAACATGACAGCAGCAACAACAATAATTGCCAATCCATGAAAATAATATATATATTCAGATTTCATAAATCTAAAAAATGGTGATAATCTGTAAGTTTTCTGTTTCATGAAACATGCAGTCAAACAAAAAATCTCCCCCAAAATAGAACAGGAGTATCTGTACTTCCCAGGTGAATATTCTTATTGGCCAGAGGTCAACTTGATGAATCCAGTGACGACTTCCAAGACAAATGGACAAATCAACTATAAACATTGTGCTAATGGAACAGTTTACAGAATCATTTGAAGATGTCCATTGGATCTGATCCACAAAGACGTAGAGCATTTCCTGACAACATATATCCACTAATCACTGGCAAATTAACATGGCATATTGTTTCATGTTCAGTCTCAACAATGAAATATTGAAACACATAAGTCAGTGAGCAACATATACCATCTAGAAAGTGTATCCAGAATTGATGAACCTTTGATCTCCATAAGCCATTTGTTGAAGTTTTCATTTTGACATCACATCAGGATTGTGGAATATGACAAATGCCATTCCATTGTGGTAGCTGGTCAAACATGATTTTCATGTCTAATCTTTATGCTTAGAAATGATTTAGTTTGTTTTGAGTGCAAATAAATAACTTTCACTGACAAACTAATATTAGACATGTGCTATGCCAACGTTCTATGAAAGTGCTGATGTAATAGTGCTTATGTGGACAGTGAAACTTTAACATTCTGTGATCGATGTTCTTGGTGATCAATCCATTCTGGCAGTTAGTGTGTGCATTAGTCTGGGCATTGATAATAAAAATGGCCAAGACAGTATGCCAATGAAGCTTCATATATGTTGGAAGAACCTCAAAAACTGGTAAAATGATTCATTGAGACAAGAGCAGTTGAACTTTCATATGAAAAATATCCATAGGCTAGAAGCCAACAAATGGATAGCTCCAGGTCTCTGACAAAATCATTGATTTTGTATGAACTCGTCATTTGATTTTGAAGATTTAATTTGCCACCACTGATGATCACAAAACACATCTTTGGTTGGGCTGGTTGAATGAATATGGTTCTACGGGCTTTCAGTAATATTTAAGCAACATTACGGTGGGTAACACAAGAAATGGGCTATACACATTGTACTCCATTTTTGAGTGAAAGGTTTCAGAGAATATGAAAGTGAAACAAACTGACATGATGTTCATCTTTGCACCTAAACTCTTACCAAGGAGGCTGCAAGTTTGAAAATATATAGAAGGAAAACTTGTCAAGAAACTACATGAGATCTCTGAACAATGTCGCCTGAAGGTGCATACAGTGCTGGTGATGAACAACTATTATGTAAATGACAGTAAATGTGAAATCATTCTCAGTGCATTCAAGCAATTGGGATGTGAATGGAACAATGGGAGGTAAACATCAGACCTGGAGTTGGAGCTGGTGTTGTTGGTGCTGATGTCACTGGACCAGCTGTAAGGAGATCCATCAATTTTGGAATGGTTTTTTCTAACACTCAGAAATAGTTACATTACGAGTATGGTCAACACTGTTAATGAACCTATTCCAGGGCCTTTGCATGTGTTTGTGATGGATGTTACCAGTGGGGCAGGATGCCCTCACCTTTTCATGAACAACTGCTATCATCACTATTTGATAATTGCATAATTGACTCTGCTTTTCTGAATATGGAAAGGGTTTTGTTGCTTATATTTAATGAGCCTGTTACAAGGAATACATTTACAAAATGACAACTTCAGTAATAGGAAATATTGAAAAAATTAAATCTTTAAGTGTAGGTAAGCAAAGGGGAAAATGTAGCTCATAGGACCAAATATATTGAAGAAGAAACACACACTATCATTACTGAATATCAATTTTCAAAATGATGCACACATAAAATGCTTAAGAGTAAAATGACATGTTTATTGTGGTCGTCCTGGTAAATAAGATGTCACAAGTTATTAACTGGGACTATTCATGCATAATAACATCATAGACATTCTAAATTCAGGTGAGATGTTGACATTGTGAAAGTAGAAGACTGATGATGTACAGATGAATGAGAGACAATGCAGCATGATGTAAGCTCACATGAACAAATGATCAAGGTGAGCGGTAAATAGTACCAGTATGTAAGTGTACAAACATACAATGCTTTGGACTTTATCATTTTATATCTTATTCTATATTAATTAAGTGGTATTATTCCTGGTAACACACATGCTTCCATTTGATATGATATGATGCCGGGCAATTCTGCAAGTTCTTCTTCCTGGTTAATGAGATGCTGAAAATCATCCACAAGTGGTGTAGTAATTGAGTCCAGTTCATCTGTATTGCCAAGTTCCATGCCTACAGTGAAGACACCAATTCCTGCCTCTTGCAATCGGCCAAAAGCAGCTTGTGCTGCAGCCGTGTCTTGACTTCTTTCTTTGTCTGTCATTAGGATAATGAAGTCTCTGGCTTTGGGACGGTCTCCATTAGCAGCCGTAAACATATTTTCTAGAACAACATTAAATGCTGCACCAACATCTGGTGCTCCACCTGGGTTGTTCACTGGTTTGGAATGAAGGGCTGACATCACTTCGGACTGAAATCCATTTTCATTTAAATGGAAAGCAAGGATCTGACTTTGTGTAAAAGTCATTGCTCCAACTCGGAACAAACCAGAGTCAATGTCCATCTGAGAAGCAAAGTTGTTGGCAAAGCCTTTCATCCAGCTGAAGTGTTTGTTACTGGCCGTTCCATCAAACATAAAGACAACATCATATCCTGTCTCGCTGTATCCTACAAGTGTTAAATCAGCATTATCTTCAATACTGAACCAATGCTGATCTAAATTTGATTATATTAATTATGGTTATTGTTTGCAATGTTCAGTTAATGATGGAAACGAAATCTAAGACACAAAATTTATTGAGAACCTATCAAAAAACATTCTGATATGAATGATAGAAACTAAGTGCAGACAGGTGTTCTATTAGTGACCATGAGATGGAATCACTAAAGTGTATCTGTAGACATGCTGCAGACTTGATAGATGTATTGCCCTATGACAGCATGAACGGAAATGCATACCAGCAAGAGAAACATGCCAGATCTTGCTAACATACATCAGGTAGGTTGCATTTGTGAGGTAACAAAAAAGATGAGTCATGTCATAATAACTCATATATGAACATCAAAGCAAAAGGTTATAGAAAACCAAAATGACTTTAACAACAAACGTGTAATGTTTACTTGAAACAAAACACAACTCCTGTGCTCATGCTGGAAATTTGAACTAATTAACCAAATTGGCATGTGAGTGAGTGCACCATTTATCAGCATCTGAGAAGACCATAGTTGTGTCACAGCAGTGAAATAAAGAATCATTGTGAAGAATGGCATCAACTTTCAAACCTGCTGTTGGAGCTGGTGTAGTTGGTATTGGTGTCACAGGATCAGCTGTAAATAGGAGAGTCACACAATTTTGCATAGGTAGTGAATCACTGATGATCTGTCAGTTAAGAGTTGTCAGTATATATTGAAAAAACAGATCACAAACTGTGTAAACCCACTTCTGTAACTGGATCTATAGAATAAGAATATTTCAGGATATTCAATGTATTAACTGTAGTATAACTATAAGTATAAATATAAGTTTATGTTACCAATAAAGGGTCGTGCACACACCTGCTTCCATTTGATATGACATGATGCCTGGCAATTCTGTAAGTTCTTCTTCCTGGTTGATGAGATGCTGAAAATCATCCACAAGTGGTGTAGTAATTGAGTCCAGTTCATCTGTATTGCCAAGTTCCATGCCTACAGTGAAGACACCAATTCCTGCCTCTTGCAATCGGCCAAAAGCAGCTTGTGCTGCAGCCGTGTCTTGACTTCTTTCTTTGTCTGTCATTAGGATAATGAAGTCTCTGGCTTTGGGACGGTCTCCATTAGCAGCCGTAAACATATATTTTCGAACAACATTAAATGCTGCACCAACGTCTGGTGCTCCACCTGGGCTGTTCACTGGTTTGGACTGAAGGGCTGACATCACTTCAGACTGAAATCCATTTTCATTTAAATGGAAAGCAAGGATCTGACTTTGTGTAAAAGTCATTGCTCCAACTCGGAACAAACCAGAGTCAATGTCCATCTGAGAAGCAAAGTTGTTGGCAAAGCCTTTCATCCAGCTGAAGTGTTTGTTACTGGCCGTTCCATCAAACATAAAGACAACATCATATCCTGTCTCGCTGTATCCTACAAGTATTAAATCAGCATTATCTTCAATACTGAACCAATGCTGATCTAAATTTGATTGTATTAATTATGGTTATTGTTTGCGATGTTCAGTTAATGATGGAAATGAAATCTAAGACACAAAATTTATTGAGAACCTATCAAAAAACATTCTGATGTGAATGATAGAAACTAAGTGCAGACAGGTGTTCTATTAGTGACCATGAGATAGAATCACTAAAGTGTATCTGTAGACATGCTGCAGACTTGATAGATGTATTGCCCTATGACAGCATGAACGGAAATGCATACCAGCAAGAGAAATATGCCAGATCTTAGTAACATACATCAGGTAGGTTGCATTTGTGAGGTACAAAAAAGATGAGTCATGTCATAATAAGTCATATATGAATATCAAAGCAAAAGGTTGTAGAAAACCAAAATGACTTTAACAACAAACATGTAATGTTTACTTGAAACAAAACACAACTCCTGTGCTCATGCTGGAAATTAACCAAATTGGCATGTGAGTGAGTGCACCATTTATCAGCATCTGAGAAGACCATAGTTGTGTCACAGCAGTGAAATAAAGAATCATTGAGAACAGAGCTCTCAAGTAATAGGAATGAATGAAAAGAATGCATTGTGAAGAATAGCATCAACTTTCAAACCTGCTGTTGGAGCTGGTGTAGTTGGTATTGGTGTCACAGGATCAGCTGTAAATAGGAGAGTCACACAATTTTGCATAGGTAGTGAATCACTGATGATCTGTCAGTTAAGAGTTGTCAGTATATATTGAAAAAACAGATCACAAACTGTGTAAACCCACTTCTGTAACTGGATCTATAGAATAAGAATATTTCAGGATATTCAATGTATTAACTGTAGTATAACTATAAGTATAAATTTATGTTATCAATAAATGGTCGTGCACACACCTGCTTCCATTTGATATGACATGATGCCTGGCAATTCTGTAAGTTCTTCTTCCTGGTTGATGAGATGCTGAAAATCATCCACAAGTGGTGTAGTAATTGAGTCCAGTTCATCTGTATTGCCAAGTTCCATGCCTACAGTGAAGACACCAATTCCTGCCTCTTGCAATCGGCCAAAAGCAGCTTGTGCTGCAGCCGTGTCTTGACTTCTTTCTTTGTCTGTCATTAGGATAATGAAGTCTCTGGCTTTGGGACGGTCTCCATTAGCAGCCGTAAACATATTTCCTCGAACAACATTAAATGCTGCACCAACATCTGGTGCTCCACCTGGGTTGTTCACTGGTTTGGACTGAAGGGCTGACATCACTTCTGACTGAAATCCATTTTCATTTAAATGGAAAGCAAGGATCTGACTTTGTGTAAAAGTCATTGCTCCAACTCGGAACAAACCAGAGTCAATGTCCATCTGAGAAGCAAAGTTGTTGGCAAAGCCTTTCATCCAGCTGAAGTGTTTGTTACTGGCCGTTCCATCAAACATAAAGACAACATCATATCCTGTCTCACTGTACCCTAAAAGAGTTAAGATCAGCATTATGATTTGTGGTGATTATTGAAACGTCTATGAATTAACCAGAATGACCATAAAGTCATAGATGTCCCTAGACTAGTGAATTAAATATATATTACAGTCAAACATTATAAACCAGGCAATAAACTGGAGAGATAATGCAAGAAATGAACAAGGAATTCCGCAAGCAAAGCATTTTTAACTGACAAACAAGACATGATGATTTTCATTCCAGAAAGAGATGAAAATGCTCAAGATAGGTGTTAACTCATAGGATGTATTTTTACACCAGGTAGTGAAATGAATGACGGATGTAATGTTTATGATCCAGTCAGAATCGTACAGTGGAATCTGCTATTAGCAAAGATTTCTTATGAATACAGTAAGGGTCTTGTCGATTTTCTTTCAGTCATTTTGAGATACTGACTTTGTTATCACAATCAGTATGCATATGCTTAACTTTGACATTAAACCCAAAGTGGAAAGAAAGACACACTCTTTTCAGTGACGTGTAGACATCAAACAAAGATGAGAAACTTTACATTGAATGAGTGAGTATTGTTTATATGCGTCATATCACAGTTTGAGACAGTGTGAGCAGCCTACAGCTTATCCACTAAGATACCTCACTGCCTCAGTTCAGTGAGCATGATCAAATGGGACAGATTATCTCCCTTTTGACTGCATGCTTGCAACAATACTGAGAACAGTAACAGGATTCTACGGAGAAGGTTGTGTCAGATTCACCAGTTGTGGATGTGTACAAAAGTGGTGCAGTGAGTACAGGTTTTTGACTCGCACCTGGAGTTGGAGCTGGGGTGGTTGGTTCTGGTGTTACAGGCTGAGCTGAGGATTAAAACATTACAGTCAGCATTAAAAGTTTTCATTTTTAGTTTGATTGTTAATGGATCTTATTGGTAGATATTATATACCACAATTTAATAATATAATCTGAAAAGTGTTAGCTAATGATGGTATATAGCATAATCAGATATTATGAGAGATATCTGTAGTGTTTCACACACCCTCTGCCATGTAGTATGACATTATCCCTGGCAGTTCTCCCAGCTGCGATTCCTCATCAATAAGGGTCTGATACTCATCAAGTGGAGGTGTGGTCACCTTGTCAAGCTCTGCTGTATCTTTGACTTTCATGCCAACCGAGTAGATACCAATGCCTTCATTCTGCAGACGACGAGAACCTCCAACAGCAGCTTCAGTGTTCAGACTCTTGTCATTAGAAGTCATCAAAACAACAAAGTTACGAGCTTTGGGACGGTCACCATTAGCAGCTGTGAACATGTTCTGCCGAACAAAGTCAAAGGCACCTGCCAGGTCAGGTTTACCTCCAGGGGTTGGATCTATTCTTGATGTAACTGCTTGTTTCAAATCACTACTGAATCCATATGTGTTTAGGTTGAACATCAGCTTCTGCTCTCTACCATAAACAACAGCACCAAACCTAAACTCTCCCGAGTCTACAGCCATTTCAGTAACAAATGAGCTGGCAAATCCTTTCATCCAACGAAACTGATCAGAGCTTGAGGTCCCATCAAACATGAAGATGATGTCATAACCTGTCTCACTGAAAGCTACAATACAGAAAGTCATAATGATAAATAAATGTCCTTATTGTTCCAATCTTTAGAAACAACAGTCCATCTGATGCCAAACTGCACAAAAACGGTGCAAGGACAACACTCCAACGAAATATTTCTGTCACATTATGTGATACATGCATGAGATGTGACTGAAGGAAAGTGAAACTCATGAACTGGAGGAAATAGCTGATGCCTTCACAGAAACACATGCATCAGAGGAGGTGCACTGGTGAAGGGAGGCCTCTCTTGACAATCCTGGTCAGATGACTGTTTGTGAGTGCTGGTGCAAACTTTTGATGAATAACGATGAGTTTGTGATAAAGCTTGTTATCTGATGATGTTGATGCAAGGGCAATGCATGATACACTTGTGTAAAACAAAAAACAGACAAAGAAAATGTTCGTTTTTATTGAAATGTACTTACAGCAAATATTGTTATATAAAAAATGTTAATAGATTACACATCAATGTTTGCTATGTTGCAACATCCATCATATATAACCCAAGACACACTTTCCTTACCTGAAACCGACATGTATTCAACATAGATAACATGGAAAACAGATCACACCAGATAACATGTTCACAACAATAACAGAAATGAACCAAATACTGAATCAGAATATAAAGGGTCTTATCTGTCTGGAAATATTAATCTCTATGTGTTTACCACAATATGTTAATTAATACTTAAAATGATGCAAATACAACATAACAGTTTTAAGATAAGTCTCAAAATGTGTGGCTCTAGAGTCAGAATTAATATTAACCTGTTTAATGGTAATAATGTGGAATAATGTTCTTACTATGAATTTTACTATTCACAGGTGTAGTGTTCCAGACAAGTAAGTTCCCATGGTAAAGGGAGAAAATAAAAGATAAAAGATAGACACTGAACCTGGTGTTGGTGCCGGTGTTGATGGAGCCCTTGTGACAGGTGGCGCTGAAACATAACAATATTTGTCATAGTTATACTCCAGAAACTAGAGATATAGCAGCTGAGTCATAGGTAATGGTATTGACTACTACTGATCAGGATGGTCCATATAATTTGTTCTGTTAATATATGAAACATTTTTCACAAATTGAATTTGGTTCATTAGCTATTGTCAGTTAATCACTATTTCAGCCAAGTCATGTAAACTTTGACCAACTTAATATTGACAAATGTGGCTGATCATCAAAAGTGAAATAGTTTTCATAAGGGACTATCCATAAACCAACTGTGTCTTTTACCTCTCTCCATGTAAGAGCCCATGATTCCAGCCAGCCCGTTGAAATCACTCTCGTCATTGATAAGCCACTGATGTTCATTGATAGGCTTGGTAGTAACACCATCCAACTCATATGTGTCACCAAGGTGGATACCAACTGTGTATATACCCACCAAGTCATTCTTCAGCCTACTGGCAGCAGCCAAAGTCTGACCTTGGTTCAAACTCTCCTCATTGGCAGTCATCAGCACAATGTAGTTGCGAGCATTGGGTCTGTCACCATTGCGTCCAGTGAACATGTTTGAGCGAACATAATCGAAAGCTTGAGCTTGATCTGGTCTTCCACCAGGCCTGTTGTTCATGGAGTTGCCCAGGGCATTAACCACATCACTCTTCCATCCATATTCGTTCAAGTTGAAACCAAGACTTGGTCCACTGGAGGAGAATGTCATTCCACCCACGCGCCAAATACCGTTGTCAATGCTCATTTGAGACGCGAACATGTTCGCGAAATTTTTCATCCATCCAAAATATCTATTATTGACTGAACCATCCAGCATAAATATAACATCATAGCCTGTGTCAGAGTATCCTAAAATAACAGAATAGGTGGAATTGCAATGAATACAACATTAAACATCACAGTACTATACCAAATAACTGGGACATGGACAACATTCCTGAAATAAATATACCTTAAATATAAAACATATGATGATGTCAAGGTGTGACATGTGAAATAGGACAGATGTTAGCATGGATAGAGAAGACAGTGTCACTGACATGAATAGAGTGAGATGAGAGAAACAGGTGTGTTAAACACCAGACATGGAAAGTTTATTTGTGATTATACATATTGAAAAACTGCCTTCAAGCATTTAGTTTTGTATGCAAGTTTTATACAGCTGTCATATGTGTTCACATACAAATTGTTCGGATCTGGTCAATGTTAAAAAAAATTATTAATCAGTTTGTCTATAAATGTCAACAAAACTCTAAATCAATTTTGTAATCATATGAATGTGCTATTTGTTCTTTTAGGGGCCACTAGGCTTAAATTATCCTATCAGAACGAATCATGGAATTCTATGCTGTGGAAAGTTCTCTTAAAAAAAAGACTTAAAAAAGTACAACAAAGTTTATTATGTATACATTATGAAAGAAACTTGGAATTTAGAATGTTTGTTATATGAATAGAATATTTTTTAAGGGCAAGCACTCAGTTCAGACAACTATGTACTGTACATTCAGTCCAACAAGTAGGTATATATCTTGTGAGATAAAAGGTTTCTTAACAAGACTGAAGGAATGGCAGCAAAACTTTGTTAAGATATGTACCAAAAAGCTGAAGTTATTTGTGTATCTTACCTGATACAAATAACCCACATCGCAACAAATGTGGCTCCTAATAATTCAAAAGTGGTGCATGTGTACAGTTAATGACAGCACAGATAAAGGTTAGATTTCAATGATGATGATGACAATGATGATTGTAATAATGACAACAAGAATATGGTGCACCTGTCCTGGGCCTGGTGGTTGTCGTAGTAGTGGTAGTGGTAGTAGTGGTTGTGGTCGTTGTAGTGGGCTCTGTACATCAAGTACAAGGTGAACCGAGACACGAACAGACACAAAGTAAAGATACAGGTGAACACATGAAACACAAAAACATTGGTTTTAACACATTGACACAAACCAAAACAGGATACAGCACTTGACAGCATACAGTGACTGTCATATTAGTCCTACAGTGAAATAGGGAACCATCAAAGAATATTTCGAGTTAAATTGATAAAAGAAGCTTTCCAATATTAGACCATTGTGACAAAAAGGAATCTGCCAAGACCATAAAGTTTTTCTTTTATATCAAGTTTGAATTAATGAGGTTCAAATGTACACTTCAAATCTGAAATTTCTATTCAGTCATTACAATTCAAATTCTGACAATTACATTCCTTTTTCAATTTCAGATATCAAAGAGACCCCTTTTACCCCAGCTTGGGTGTATTACAGATTATGTTTGACAGAGGGACAATTCACAAAGTGGACACACATGTACAGGCAACAAAAAGCATGCACAATATACAAACATATACACTGGACATTACAAAAGAACAGAAATCAAGGGATAATTAAAATTACATATGTCATTTTTCACCTTGTTGTTTTACGCATTTTAAAGGTATCAAATGAATGATAACATACCTCAAAATTTAAAACAGTAGGTTTCTATCCATTTCGGAATAACCAACTATCATGTTTATAGTATCACAATACTAACAGATCTTGTGAAGTCATTATGTAATAAAAGTGGTGTTATTGTTCTTATTTCGCCGTCCACTTTTTGACATTCTGTCTAAAATAAGTTACCACAAAACCTTAAAGTTATCTAGGAACCACAATTTGGCATCTGACAAAGTCTAATACATATACATTTTTAAAAATGTCAACTGGTCCAGATGAGGAAAGACATTCTTTCTTTCATACCTTCTTACAAAGTGTTGCAATTCCACAAAAGGCATGTTATCAGAAATGTGATACCAATTGATGACAATTTAGAATTTAGGATTTTAGAATTCTGTATTATTGTGAATTATTAACCTGCTTTCGTGAAACGAATTCCACCTGGCCCTACAATAACTGGTGTTCCATCAGGACGAGTAACTGGCCTGCCATCATGGCCTTTGGCTAAATGTTCACCAGGTTTTAACACTACTGGTCCTCGATCAGGACCAAAGACTGGGTTGCCATCTGGACCTTTAGCTAAACTTTCACCAGGGCCCAACACAATTGGTATTCCATCAGGACGGGTAACTGGTCTGTTATCTGGACCTTTAGCTAAACTTTCACCAGGGCCCAACACAACTGGTGTTCCATCAGGACGGGTAACTGGTCTGTTATCTGGACCTTTAGCTAAACTTTCACCAGGGCCCAACACAACTGGTGTTCCATCAGGACGGGTAACTGGTCTGTTATCTGGACCTTTAGCTAAACTTTCACCAGGGCCCAACACAATTGGTGTTCCATCAGGACGGGTAACTGGTCTGTTATCTGGATCTTTAGCTAAGCTTTCACCAGGGCCCAACACAATTGGTGTTCCATCAGGACGGGTAACTGGTCTGTTATCTGGATCTTTAGCTAAGCTTTCACCAGGGCCCAACACAATTGGTGCTCCATTTGGATCAACAATGGGGTTTCCATCTGAACCAACAGCTAGAATGTCATCTGGTCCCAGTATAAGTGGCATGCCACTAGGGCCTATATAAGGTGTGCCATCAGGGCCAAGAAGTGGCCTTTCCCCAGGACCTATAATAACGGGCAATCCATCTGGATCAACAAAGGGCTGACCATCAGATCCAAGAACTACACTTTCATATGGGCCTAAAATGATTGGCTTTCCTTCTGGACCTATCATAGGACGACCATCAGAACCAAGAACTACACTTTCATCTGGTCCAACTATGACTGGCTTCCCGTCAGGACCTACAATTGGTCTTCCATCAGGGCCACTGATGGGTATTCCCACAGGACCTACAACAAATTTCTCATAAGAATATAGGACAAGACTGTGCATTTGAATGCAGACTCTGATCAATCAAGGGAAATACTGCTAGTGTTGTTAATTTAACTGTAACAACTAATTTGGTCATTTCATATCAACAACTTAACAGACTCAACTATATTCACTTTGTATTAATAAATGTTTAACAGATGATTTTTTTCCCTCCAACATAATTTTTTACAAATCAAAAGTGACTTACCTATCAAGAGACTAGGTGGAGAGACAAATGAACATAAACAACACAATACAGGACCATAAAGCATGCACACATACATACCAGACATTTACTTTAACTCAATTTACCTGCCACAATTATTTATTCTCATACTATAGCAAGTCATCTAACACAAAGAAGCTTCATACAGCAAGCACTGCTGTTTTAAAGTGTCATGCATGTATGTTATGTTGGGTAAAAGTACCTTGAGTTTTCAACTGCCATCAGGCCTGAATACATTTTAACTCCATGTTTGACATAACAAAAGGTACCGGTACCATCAAATATAAAGTTCTACACTAATAATTCGATCTAGACAGTTAACCATGACAGCAATTATCTTTGTAAACCACTTTTCTTACAAAGGTACATTATTTGATTCAATATTCATGAGCTGAGACATAAACATGCTATTTAAATTCCCACACTCATTCACAAACTATGCATTTCTTCAACAGTAAAGTTACAGTTACATTAGGAGGTCATGAAACAGCACCACTTTTGCGTAGAATATACAGTGGTACAGTGCTTTGAGGAGGATATATTCAATGTGTGACAAGTTATGTAGTTAATCTGGCAGGTGAGTCCTCATGTAGTCAGTGACAGAAGTAGTACTTAACACCAGGAAGAGCATGGAATACAGTGTATGTATCCATGAAGAAAACAGTTTAAGGAAGATTAGATAACATAAGCATTTAATTTGGTCTTTTTTTCTTCTCTCATTTCAATACCTGCTTTGATATGCAGTGAGGTGAGGTGAAATGGGGTTTAACGTCCAAGAATATTGCACTTACCTAGTGATGTGCATGCACGTGTATGTGTGTGTGTGGCTGCTTGTACAAGTCCAGAAAAATGCCAATTTATATTGCTAGCCCACTGAGATACCATGCCGCAGCTTAATATGAATACACCACTCACACACATTATACTGACTCTGAGCTGATGAGCCCTTAATAACAAGCACCAGGCAGGGTAACAACAAGAACCATCTTTTAACGTCCTTTAGTATGACACGCCCAGGATCGAACCCCGGACCTTATCCGCTCTCTGGGCGGACACTTTACCCCTAGACCACAGAGGTGGTCCTGATATGCAGTGATGCTTACTAAAAGTGAGGTAGTTCATGTTACAAGCCAGAATTTATAACTTGCATCAATATCCTATTATTTGCTATTGGAATAATGGAGATGCATTGATCACTGTATTACATGAAAAGGATCTATTTTGATACTTTATTTCAATTGAATGATTCATATCTCAAAATTTACCTTTGCCTTTTGTAAATTTAAAGTTTGCTATCCACAATGTTTTAGATAGATTATATCAATTGTGTAAAAATTACTTAGATTAAAAAAACTTGGCATTTTCTAATGTATCATAACATTTTGCAATAAAGCCTAAATATGTTATTATAATGGACATAATTGCTTTAACATGCATGTATTATGATCAAGCATATGCTTTCCATCTTTAAAGAATTGCAGTCAATAATGATTAAAGATGTATTTCAAGCAATTCATTAGTCAGACAGATTCCCTTCCTCAATTACTACATAAATCAATCAATGAAGCAACTCAGGCAATGCAAACTAATTTGGTCTTTGGCTAGGTAATTTTTAATTAAAGCCAATGTTCTTTAATTGTATTGCAGTACAATTAAATAAGCCCAGGGTGTTAAACACAGAACATAAATACATGTTGGATACATTAATGAACAAATCATGCACAAGTAAACATAGCAACATTTACATAAGAGAAACATAGTCTTTTTTTAAAGTCATGTCAGCAAATATGAATGTTGATCAAGCATGGAATACAAAATAGATTTTAGCACCAGGACACACAATGTCATGATGGGACATGAATGATGATGATGATGATGATGATGATGTAACTATAGTGCACAGGTGACAGTGCTTGACAAGAATAACTTGTGTTCAGAAACAGTTCACACACTATATTACAGAATGCACTTTATGAAGTACAGTGCCATAAATGAATTTCAGAAGTGATACATTTCCACATGTACATAACCTTCATTTATCATTTCTGAAGCTACTGCAAAAAATACCACATAATGTTATTTGTGTTGAACACATTTATGCACTTTCAAATGAACAGAAATAAACTCCTCACCCATTCCTCTTGAATGTCACATACTTGTAACTCATCAATGGTATTTTTGTGTCAAAAATCGATTTCAATCACTAAATAATTTGCAAGGTAATATCAGAGATAAGTTATGTTAATCAAATCAACTAGAAATAAGTGTTATTTTTATAAAGATGAGATTAAATCCCCAAAGAACTGCATTACAGTGTGTGAACTGTTCAGCGATGTGATGGTGCAAGGCTTTGTTCCACAGAGAGACCTTGGCTTATAATTCCTGTGCAGGCACAATTAGTTTTGTCATACTCATAGCAGTGAGATCCCTTTGTGGAACAGCTTATTTTAGATGTTCAAGAGAAAGGTTTTGTCATTGTGGTGTCTGTCCTTGGTCACATCTAGCCCTGCAGTTACCACAGCCTACATATTACCTACCTTATACATTATATATCATTAGAAATACACAAAATATGCATCTAAAAATAAATTATCTTACCATATAACCAATGAATAAAATCATAGTACTTACACAAAATTATGATTACAAAAATACAAGGTTATATTTCAAAAAGAAAATAGCATATTATTTGTTTTTCAGACAAAATTTGAAAATATCTTTTTTTAGAAATCAGAAATACGCAGAATAGTTTGCTTACCTGTTGTAGGTGCTGAAATATGGAGAGTAGATGGAAATAAGAATTCATTATATTCAGTGAGTGGCATTATCTTTATATAATATAATAAACTTTGTTATCAGGTTAATTGTACTAAGAGTAAACAGTTCAGAAGATATATACAATGATACTGTTTTAATCACAGAATAAAAATAAACACTGTGCAAATTGCACATCTAAATGACCCAAGAGGGAACAATCAAACAAGAGTAGTATTGTATACACATGTATACAGAGAACATGTAAGAGTAAATATCAACAGATACATAGCATATATTCATATGGCATTAGCTGTGGAGACAATGTTAGGCGTTAAAATAGACCTCATGTATTATACATGAATAATATAATAAGTGATCATGAACAGTGGCAAAACAAGACAAACGGTCTTTCAGTCACAGAAAATCAACACAATGGACTATTCAATACACAAACATCATGCATAATCTTGTAACAGATAAAATACAATTAAAGACTCTTTCAAAAGTAAAATGATTGTATTTTGTTGCTTAACACTGCACTTAGCAATATTCCAGCTATGTGATGGTGGCCACAAAACAATTTGGACCAGACAATCCAGATGTTGATATGAGAGCAACAATATGCCATGCTGTCACAGAGTCCGACCACCCGATCCATATAGTTGCCTTGTATGGCAACTAATGATTACTGGGGGCCTATTCTATATCAAACTATGTCAAGTGGTGAGACCTGAGAACTAACTCGTATCAAATATTTTGAATGGTCAAATACAAAAACAAGATAGCTAATTCCTATGTTTTCTGTTACACTCTCTTTTGCAAAAAAGTTTCAACCATTTAAATCTTGTAGCAGAAAATGGGGCAATGACAACATATACTCTATGATATTTTGAATTTCTTTAGATACAATCCGGGTATTCATACTTACATCTCTGTCACATGATGGAAACTTATACATACACTCATGAAAAAGTGAGAACTAACAATGATTACAGCAGGTGTTTACACTCAGGTGAGCATGTCCTTACCAACCATATCCCCTAGTTTTCTTGAGTGTAGATCAAGGTCACTTTACACTTGACTCTTGAACAATTCTATGGCCATCCAATTCCTATTGTTTTCTCTCAAGTACCGAGTAAATACCCATACAACAACACATATGACTTCCTCTCATTCATCTGACAAATACAAGACATAGTCAACAGTGAGGTTTCTGCTTATTTCAAGGTTAGTGTCAGGCACCAATAACAGTCTATGATACAAAGACATCTGATACATGTCCAGGCTCATTTCCAGGAACTCCACTGACATTAGATTTCTGCTTGTCTTCATTGCTTGTCTGGCGTGCCCCTGTAAGGTGCTTAACAGGCCAAACTAGATAAACTTCAAAACTGGACCATGGGGAATTAATCCCCCCCAAATCATGCTCCATTTTCTAATTACATTTGCCAGTTGACATGAATTGTTTGTTGCATTATTGATACCAAAGCAAATTTCTAGTCTTAAAAAAATGCTGTTGCAAAATAAGACTGGGCCCATGTCTGTACCATTAAACAAAAGTTTAAAACTGTTTAGTGAACATAAGCAAGAGAATTTATGGCTCAAAATGCTCAGTAAACAAGTCTTTGAAAGGCATTTGAAATGAAGAACATATGGAAGAGAATTTGTGGATGTTAGCTTCTCTGTTGTAAGGAACACAAAGTTTCCAACTTGTTATCTTATCACTTTTGTTGTCCATACAGGTACATATATATGTTCTCTGCCTTGTAGCATTTATTCACCTGATGAAGAAGTCAGTATATACTATGTTATGTTCCTCTTAATAAAGTTCCTGACATGGGTACAATGTGTGAAGCCCATTTCTGGTGTCCCCCGCCGTGATATTGCTGGAATATTGCAAAAAGCGGCGTAAAACCATACTCACTCACTCACTCTTAATAAAGAAGATGACATCCACAAATTCTCTTCCTTATGTGCTTTATTTCCAAATGCCTGTCAAAGACCTGTTTAGTGAGCATCTTGATCCAAGAAAGGATGTCGTATGGAATGATCTGGGATAAACTGGGCAAGTGGAACAATTGTGGTAAATTATTTACTTCAATCTTTTACCAATGTGAAGTAATGAAGGCCAAAATCATAGACAAAGTGTCAATCCCCAAATTAAATTACCGGTAAATCTATTTGTCAACAAGTTCATAATACTAATTCTTTACTATATTGCACTAAAATGTGTTAGGTGATGTTGTAGAACTATCATGATGTAATGATGGAGTTGATGCACGTTGTAATTTCGTGAAGTATCTATCATCTGAACAAAAATACATTCCATCAATATAGAAATGATAATATGTTCCCAACATTGTTTTCTAAAAAAAATAAAAAAATACTTACAATGTTGACTCAGTAGCATATTATTTGTCTCTAAAACAATTCAGTTCATTATTAAATAAGCACTTCTAAATCAATGGCTAGCACAGAAAACTGCATATAATAATCCAAATGGTAAGATATTGTTACAATATCCATCCTTGATTTCTCTTAATACAGATCATATAAACACCAGCAGACACCAATAAGAATTCAAACATTTACATAAAATTGGTTACTTAAGGGCCAAAGATTATATAAGAGACAAGCTAGAAATGTTTCAATCCAAGCAGTATCTAATTCAGTTAAAACCAAGTACAATTAATATTATATGCGCACATGTGAAAGTTGATGATTCATCGGTATATATACTAAATTCCAAAAGAAATGCACATCTCATGTTGCAACTTTCAAAATCAATAATATCCAATATTTATTTATTTGCACAACAAAAGACACACATTAATGGCATTCCAATCATTGTTTTTGAATTCAAAAATGAACAGTAAACATATAGACTCATCATATCCATGAGACAGACTAGCCAGAACATGTATTTCTGAACATGTGCTGAGAACAGCATGCACACTTTTAAAGTGCAACATGGACTATTAGGTGTTGAAGGTACCCATGAAAGCAAAATGTAAGTTCTTTGTCGGATATGGAATGCACCATGGCACCAACAATATAAACAACTGTCGAGTATTGGGCATGATTGAAGCTGGTATGATGGCAACACAAGTAGTGAGAGATCTATAGGTTCAACCCACTAAGATCTACCATCTTATTGACAAACAATGTACAGGATTGCCCAAGGAGCAGATGCCCACATGTAACATCGTTACGCCAAGATTTATCAAGGGTTATTGCCCATTCTCGCTTGCATTAACGCCACCTACCAGCATTAACTACTGCTAGACAGTTGGAACTCATCAGACCTGTGTCAGCACACAGGATGCATCAGCAGCACATCTCAGATGCAAACATTCATACTTTGGTTGTGCATTTCTTTTGGAATTAATAGAATATTAATAGAATATATATAGAAACATTGTTACAATGTTAAAAATGAGCATATTGGTTGCAGGTTTAACACAAAAGCATAGTAATCCCACTCCTTGAGACAAGACCGCATTGAATAACAGACTGAAGTATGATGTACACATCAATATATACCTCCCAGACAGGCTGAGGTAAAGATTTTCTGCTCTAGGCCTTGTAACTCATCAAAGTCTTGCACTGTATATGTGTTCTCACTGACAGGATGACTGGGAAGTTCCCTCAGCTCTGTTTCATCAGCCAGACCAATACCAATGGCATAAACATAGATACCGGCTGATCGGACCATCTCTGCTTCAGGAACTGTCCTTCTCCCGTTAATGTTGGACACACCATCTGTGACGATGATGGCTACATTGCGTACATTTGGTCGATCTCCATTGTGACTTGTGAACATCTGACTCCGCAACACCTTCAAACTATCTGCAGTGTTTGTGCTCCCATAGCGATATGGGATTTCATCTACAGCTCTGAGCATTGCTGATAGAGAGTGGTACTTGTTGAGATGGAATTGGATATAAACTCCTGTACTGTAGGTGACAATTCCAACTTGAGTGCTTCCTCGGTCTACATCAGCTTCTTTTAGAAGGTCCTTGACAAACTGCTTCATTTTTTCAAAGTTTTGAGCTGTGACACTAGTGGAGGAGTCGAGGACCATGACAAGGTCTGTCTCTGTCAGTCCACACTTTGGGGCTGACATACACAGGAAGAATACAAGGTAATAATGTCAACATGAACAAAGACAGGGAGGGAGTTCAGTGATACGAACTACAATATCAAGAGGTTTTGCCTACTTCACAGGCGTATCCAGAATTTGAATATATTTCTTAAAATTCTTTTAGTGTTATGTGCTTTTGATGTATAAATTATGTTTTTCAGGTATGTTGGAAACTTCATAACCAAACCCATAAAATGAATTCCAAATTTGAATTTAAACAGCATATTCTCCATTTCAGTGATGTACATGTTTACAATACAGCAATAGGGTGCACATGAATTATACAGTGGTCACAACAATACCTAATGATATAATACTTCTAAAGTTCTGTGTGTCATCTGTTGTAGACTGCAATGGCAACTGTAACACTTCACAACTTGACATCAATATCTTCATAAACATTAACACAAATATATCCATTCTGTCTGATTTACATAACCTGAATCTCTATACAATAAAAAAGTTCATCAAATATATTATTCTTAACATTGACTATGCATGCATATGAGAATATCATGCTGAAAGAAATCCCCAACATTCATTCTATTACATATACTGAGGATACCCAGTATCGTTCATTGATTGAAAAAAAGAGATGTAAAAACTAAACATGTCTTACCTGTTTAAATGATGCAGGAAAATATGAAAAAAAGGGAAATATAAAATTACTGGTTTATCGAAGATTTATTTGTTAGCAGCTGTTCGTCAGATTCATGACTGTTAGTATGTTCATTAGTTATTTAATTTGATTATTCAAATTTGTGAAAATGTTAGCATGCTATATGGTTCATGACACTAAACTTTGTTAAGTTGATTGCAACTACATTATTATGCAAACAGATACATTAGTGTCTTATCAAAGTTTACAGATGTGAAATCAAATCATACATATCACACTTATTGCAATTAGATGATAGAACAAGTTTTCAACATGCTGCTTAAAGTAAGCTGTTCCACCAATACACAAGTGCTTTTCTAAATAATTAAGCAACTACCACTATGGACAGAATTTTCTAGTAACCTCCGCATTAAAATGTCATGCGTTGGTCCAAAAGATGATTTTTTCTTAATGCCAAACAAGAAAGTTCTTAAAAATAGAAGTTGCGCATTAACTTTCAGTTTTATCACATGATATGGAAGACCATTCTGGTTTGAACAAAGACATTAAAGTACAGAAAAAACAAGCACTTTTCATTAAGATGCAAGGAATAGTGCTACAGAAAGGAACTTCAAAGCCACAAGTAAATTGTCATGCCATAAAATCCTGACTAACAGCTACCTAACAATTAATATACTTTGAAGATCTCCATCTCTCAAATGTAATGATACGTTTCCTCAATGGTTGTTGTGATCCTTTTTATTGACTGGTTGAAATGAATTTTAAGGTGATAGCATGTACGTATTTCATAAATGAAAAATGAATATTTTGATCAGCATAGATTTTGTAAAATGCCATGCATAGTCTTTTGGTAATATGCTTTCATGCATTCCTCTGTGCATTTCAATTAATGTTCGAAATTGAAAACAAATGATTAAATCTATCAAATGTTTTGGTATAAAAACTGCATTTGAGAGGTTATGCACATCTTGTACCTTGAAATGGAAACTGCTTCTATTTTAAAAAGGTCTTCTCTACAGTAGGGTTAGTGCAATCACATAGCAATACAATTGAAAGTCTTGATAAAATTTGCAGTGTCATGCACATCATGCTGTAAGTATCTTAGAAGTTAAAACAGTGCCACTTTCGTATAAAAGATGAGGTCTTTATAAATTGATTACATGATGATACAATAATGGCAACACATATGAGGATGACATGCTAGGACTACAGTCCACTCAGCTGCAATAGACACTAGGGATAACAACTCACGTGTTGGAGGGGTAAAAGTGATCACTGTAAAACAGGGGTAGGTGGAAATGTTAGGGAACATAGAGAGGGATTCAGAACTGATTTGCCTGCTTGCTCATTAGATATCTCTTTTAAAAATGATATCCTTAAACTTAACGGAAAACAGGTAATTCACATCCACGTATTTCTCATCAATTTGATAAATACAATTACTTATGACTGAAGTTACAGTTGATGTTTCCGATTTGTAGCATGGCAGGTCATCTTGGGAGGACTTACCTGGGCAGACATCTGCAAAGATCACATTGGCCAAGGAAGACAACTCTGAAAACTGCTGCACATTAAACATGTTATCAGAGGCAGGGGATGTGGCTATGGCCTCCAGTTCACGTGTGTCAGACAACCCCACACCTATAGCATATATATGAATGCCCTCGTCCCTAGCAGCAATGGCTTCCGGAATAGTTCTCTCTGGGTTTACACTAGACACACCATCTGTGATGATCAGGCAGACATTTGGAACTTCTGGACGATCACCATGGTAACTAAGAAACATTTCTTCTCTCATCAGACGTATTGCATCTGCTGTGTTGGTTTTGCCATACACATATCTAATGTTGTTGACAGCCTGTGCGATGTTTCTGTATTTGTTGTGAGCATTAAGGTTGAAGTGAATCCTGGCCTTATTGCTGTAACTCAACACTCCTACCCTCACATCGCCTGAGTCAATGTTGGCAGTACCCAACAACTGTTTCACGAAATTGAGCATTTTCTTAAAATTTAACTGATTGACACTGGTTGATGAGTCCAGGAGAATAACTAGATCTGTTGGAACCATACCACATCCTGAAACAACATTTGCAGGGATGGTGATGAAATATGCTGGTTCGGTATAATGGCATGAAGCAAGTCACTCAAATCAGACAAGGTATTATTATGATGGGTCAGCATACATGGGACGGTTGCGTTATGTTAGGCATACAGCCTGACTTATTGTGATATTTAGGTTATGACATATGGCATAAGCAATCAGGACTGATAAATGGTAGGAATATGGGTGAACTATATGAGGTGTTATCTGGGTAAATGACTCATGAAGGATATCATACATGGAGACAATGTTGACAATGGCATTTGGAACAGTTTGGATATGTCATCAATCAGTAGGATAAGGTGGGGCAGTTACATTTATGATGATGCATATCCTGTTATGCAAAAGGTTGCCTGGGATGTAGAAGACATATTTTGAATGATTCATTTGGGGGTTTTGATATGTTGCAGGCTATATTTTTCATCAATTATTGTACCACTAACTTTTCACCATATATATTTTATAATGGAATACAACCTGGGTTAAGGGTGTGATATTTGTGATATTTCCTTTATTATTGGCATTGATTATATATGGCTCCAACAATGCTTGTATTATTCTGATTGCCATCCATTATTGGTATTACCTATGAGCGAGTTGACACGGCACTGCTTCTCTCGGATACAGCATGGGGAGTGGAATTTTAACTAAGATCTTTTGAATGAATGGTAATGATCACATGATATGACATTATCAAAGGTATTTGAAGGGAGGTATAAGTAGGGATGTGGTAACCGTATAATTGATCACTCTGTCCATGCACATGCCTGATTTCATGTGTCATGCTTCAGTCATGCTTGTGAATTAAATAAAGATGTATTTTAGTAAAACATGTTAATATTAGAGTAAAATTATTAAGAAGCATTAAATTAAAGCATGAAGTGATTATTATCAGTTAACTCAGTGAGCTAACATAATTATGTATGTGAGATTCATAAAAATTGGAATTGACTGAAAACAGAAATGTTCCTTGTAAATCATAATTCAAACAGCTTAATGAATAATTATATTGTAAAATGGTACCTCATGGTTTCACAAGTCAACAATCATACAAAAAATAAACATACTTGATGTTATAGATGATAAAACATGGTACTTTCTTTTTGTAAATGCAATAAAATAGAATGTAATTGAATTTATACTTTCTGGTTGTTTTAATTAGGGATATCATGATTTAACAAATTATCATTGAGTCACAAATTTAACCTGACATTATGATACACTATATTATTATGAGTTTCAAACAGAATTGCAATAACCTGGCCTTGTAAATATGCAGGCCAGAAACAAAAAGCAAAATTTGATTGCTTCATAAGTACCAATAGATCGATCCCAAATTTACAAGTATTTTGATATGTATCGTATCATGAACCAAGTTTCACAAAATGTGTTGATATATAAGGTGACATATCTATTATTTTGGCCATCCATCTAAATCATTATATATATAGAAACAAATGATCGAAATAGAATCAGATTTTATTACAGATTTGTCTGCTACAACGTGGCTACAAGTTGCAATGTGAATGTTGAGAACCATACCTTCTGTGGGTGGTGGTGTGGGTGGGGGCGTGGCTCCTGAAAAACAATACAATTTTGATACATCAGTAATGGAACTTCTCGAGTGGAAAAGGCATATTCTAAAGAATCATATTCATAGTTTGATAATGAGAAGAGGTATGGTGGATTTGTAGCAGGTTGAATCTATTAGAATTTAAATTAGGTTGGAACAAGCTGGGCAAAGGAATGATTTCATTCAAAAATATCAAAAGATTTCAAAACAGAGAACATGTCAGAGTTAAAATTGCAAATAACTAATCCTACATTCTAGTCAAGACACACATATCTATAAACAGATGCATTTAATCATCTCTTTTTGGTTAATAGAGAAAGATAAAATCTTCACTTAGGATAAAGAAGTGAATAAAAAGAAAATTGTTCATCAGATACTTTTTACATACATTTCTCACATTTAATAAAATCAAATTTTCATCAAAAGTGATAATATAACATGACAGGAGACAATTACAGTTTTCCAGAAAAATGAAAAGTACTTTGTAACACACAATGGAAACAACAGTTTCCAGGACACAATGACTATATATACAAATACTGTGAAGATTTTGTGTGTACAATACAGTGGGCAAGATTTAGTAACACATAAAGCTTTTGGACAACCACATACACACACTGGAACAAAGATGGCCAAATTAGTAGTGAACAAATAAAAATCTTAATATTATTAATAAAGAAAATTAATGAAATGAGAAAACAAGAATTAGTATGAAATGCAAATAATAGTAAATTCCATTATTAAGGAAGAAACATGGTAAATATTCGATTACTATTTTACCATGAGAGCTCTGGTCTAAAGACCAGCATGCAATTAAGAAGTGTCATTTCTCTAGGATGAGGCTACTGGACTCACTGAAAACAGAAAGTTAGATGTTAGTGACACTAATATAGGCGGTTTTCTACAGATATTTCCTATTATGTTTATTCATAAGATGTATGCCAGATAATAAGAATGGAAGACCAGTTAAGCAATGTTTGCACTGTGGACATAAGCTAGACAAGAAACAAACACATCGGCTTTGGGCAAATACAAACACATTATTAATGGTAGAAATGTCAGAATGAACACATACTATCTCTAAGGTCAGCTTCTAAGTTGTAGAGCTCACATCGTCATAAGATTCTTTGAAGAATTGGCATTCACTCAAGGAGCATTATTGCTCTAATTCATTCTGATGTACAAATAAAAGATACTGATACACGCTAGAAAGTGCATGGTACCCTGTATATAATCCTACTTCAAATGTCTGGTATTTGTATTGAATTCACTGGGAGTATAAATTATATTGCTTGATGATTATTACAAGTATCTGGCAAATCCATCCACCTTCCACTAAAAGATGATTTAGAAAAGGATCATTTCACCTTATTTTGATAATAAAACACGAATGTTCAGCCAGGAGAGCTAACAAACATAAACCCCTTTTGCTTACAATCACACAGCCCTATGTGTTAGTAGGGACAATGTCAGTATTGCGTAGAATTGTTTTCTTAAAGAGCCTGGAAGTATTATAAGCTAAGGAGTTGAGCCATACAGGTTTTAATGGGAGAAGAGAAGACAAATGTTAAATCGAACTGATATGTTAAAAGGAAGGATGACAGAATAGAACTTAAATAACATGGCTAAATGGGAACATTGGGTGATGATGACATGACATATATATCAACAGTGTGGAACATTATATGACACTTGGTATTGTGTGTTTATGAAGATGAGTGTTACACAATGGTACAAGTGTTCATGTGTGCTGTGATCTTACCTTAGTGTTCAACTTGAAGAATATTCAGTGGATAGTTTAAACAATATCAAGGTGTAAATGATGTAAATGAAAAGGTGAGGAATATCAAATTGGTGAAAGCTGGAGCATTGCTCATTGTCAACCTCAGAATCAAGTATTTCAGAGGACTAGATTCTGATGCTGAATAATAGATGAGGCAAGTCATGAAACTTTGGTGGACAAATTCAAATAAGTGGAATGTTTCAGGATAACCATAGTAACAATAGGCATGTAATTTCATAAAAGAATTTTTTACCTTAGCTACACTAATGCTGTAAGCAAAAGCATGCAATAATCCTGAATAGTTCCAGGTCTGTGTGTTGACAGGCCATCATTGTCTGTCGTCACTCTCTGATGTCCAAGAAGAGATGTAGACACACAATGTATGTCTTCTGAGCAGCTAACATCAGGATCCTCTGCAATGTGTCTATACTGGAACACTGATTCCATCAGGTCAGAGTAACCTAGCTAGGAACCTGAGTCTGCACTGTTTCCCTTGGACTGTTCAGACAATGAGTGACAAACACACATTGTCCATGAGGATATCATGTTCCTTGATATTCAGCACAGAAGGGCCATGAGGATATCATGTTACTTGACATACGGTTGAGGAGGACCATGAGGATATCATGTTCCCTGACATACAGCACAGGAGGACCATGATGATATCCTGTTTTTAGACATACAGTACAGAAGGACCATGAGGATATCATGTTCCCTGACATACAGCACAGGAGGACCATGAGGATATCATGTTTTTAGACATACAGTACAGAAGGACAATGAGGATATCATGTTCCCTGACATACGGTTCAGGAGGACCATGAGGATATCATGTTCCCTGACATACAGCACAGGGGGACCATGAGGATATCATGTTCCTTGACACAACACAGGAGGACCATGAGGAAATCATGTTCCTTGACAGACAGTACAGAAGCACCATGAGGATATCATGTTCCCTGACATACAGTACAGGAGGACCATGAGGATATCATGTTCCTTGACACAACACAGGAGGACCATGAGGATATCATGTTCCTTGACACAACACAGGAGGGCCATGAGGATATCATGTTCCCTGACATACAGTACAGGAGGACCATGAGGATATCATGTTCCTTGACACAACACAGGAGGACCATGAGGATATCATGTTCTTTGACACAACACAGGAGGACCATGAGGATATCATGTTCCCTGACATTCAGCACAGGAGGACCATGAGGATATCATGTTCCCTGACATACAGTACAGGAGGACCATGAGGATATCATGTTCCTAGACAAACAGCACAGGAGCACCATGACGATATCATGTTCCCTGACATTCAGTACAGGAGGACCATGAGGATATCATGTTTTTAGACATACAGCACAGAAAGATCATGGGGATATCATGTTCCCTGACAGACAGCACAGGAGGGCCATGAGGATATCATGTTCACTGACATTCAGCACAGGAGGGCCTTAAGTTATCATGTTCCTTGACAGACAGCATAGGGGCACCATGAGGATACAATGTTCCTTGACAAACAGCATAGGGGGACAATGAGGATATACTGTCTCTTTACAGACAGTACAGGAGGTCCATCAGGATATCATGTTCCCTAACAGACAGCACAAGAGGACTATGGGGATATACTGTCTCTTGACAGACAGTACAGGAGGACCGTGGGGATCCAGTACAGGATTACCATGAGGATATCATGTTCCCTGACAGACAGACAGACAGGAGGACTATGGGGATATACTGTCTCTTGACAGACAGCCTAGGAGGACTATGGGGATACACTTTCTCTTTACAGACAGTATAGAAGGACCATGAGGATATCATGTTCCCTGACAGACTGCACAGGAGGACTATTGGGATATACTATTTTTCTTGACAGGTTGGAATATGATCACACTGAACCATAAAGTAGGTAGTACAATTCATATCTAATTGGTGTGGGAAAATGAAACCTGCTTAATGACTTTTATCCAATCCATTTAGTTCCTGCAATGTTCACAACATTCAACACAGAAATTGAATACAAAGAAAATATAACAAAAAACAGCGTTATCACTATCCCCTGCCATGGGGAACAACAGAATTTTGTTTGTCCATATAGTAGTGAATATAAACTAAAAAAAACCCAGAATCCTATAAAGCCTTAAAATATAGATACGTACTAGGGTCGCTTTATGTCATCAGAAAAATTGATTAAATGTGAAATTAACAGACACAAAAGGCCCCTTCCCTGGAAAAAATAATTTCTGTCACCTATTCTCAAAGTCAGTCTTGATAAGTATCTCTTAGATAAGCTAACTTCAGTAGTTTCTGAGAAAACTTGTCTCCATTGCAGACACTATGCACTTTGTAAAATAACATGGATCAATGGTCGTAACTGGGTATGGTCAAAATCTAAACAGATGTAGCAAGGGAAGTAATTCTGGAGAAAAAAACATTTATGGAACCAATTTTCGAAGTCTTAACAAGTATCTCAAAGATAAGCATGCAAAGTTTCATTCATGTAACATCAGTAGTTTCTGAGAAAACTTGTCCCAATTGAAGTCACTGTGCAGTAAGTTGAAAGGAGCAAGGGCCATAACTCTGTAAAAACATAATTTATGACACCAAATTCGGACTTGTTTAAGATCATGACCAGTAATATCAGTGTGTAAAATATAATTTCTCTGACTTCAATAGTCAAAAAGGATGATGAACTCCATTCGAATATCCCCTGCCCCTCTTCATGGCGTTCAAAATTGCAGGGTTCAAAATAAAGGAATATATTTAACAGCAAAAGATAATTGATGGGGTTGTAAGGGGACATTAATTTCTTGTCAATACTTTGTTTTTCTAGTTTAAAAGAAATACCTTAATTTCTATCTCTGATCATACACATACCTGCATGTGTATTGTATAGGAATATTTTGCATAATTTGAATACTATCCAGAATCATAGTAAGAAAGACAACTAATACATCATTAACATTATTCTAGGACACTGAAAGCAATATATACATGCACAATTTCCCTTTCTTTCCAATGATTATGATATTTTTCCAAAGGAAACCCCACAAAACACTTCCACCAAAAACATCTTACAAAATATGAGTACATTAAAAGTACATTAAAAGACAACATATACATGTTAAAAACAATAAATGAAAAAGGAAAGTAAAATAGAAGGCATTCATGGAATCCATTAAGATTTCTCTTATCATAGAAATTACAGTC